ATGTAGCCCAGAGGAATCCAGTTCAGGAAACGAAGGAGTGTCTCTAATGTGGCGTGGACCAGAGGGGCATTCTGGGAATTTTCCTGAAATAAAACAGAATGATATCCAAGTTAAAAATGAATCAAAAGGTATCAAAATAATGATGAGTCACTACTGTGATATTCTGCTTTGTACGTACCATGACAAACTGGCAGAGCTGGAATATTTGGGAAAATTCGTTGCACATACTGCAAGAGGTGAGAGAAAGTTGAGTAAACATTACTGTTACACCTACAGCTCTACTGCCACGGTGTGTAATGGTCACATGTGTACCTGTCCTTCAGGTGTTTGGCTTTGACCTGAGTCATCTGGCCGCTGGAGAAGTCAAACACCTCCTCGCTGAGGAGCTTCAGGATGATCATGTTGTTCTGACACAGGCTCTCACTGGTGCGACTCGCTCCCACGATGTCACTGATGAACGTGGGCCAGTGCTTCGGCCACTCCTGCTTCAGGATCTACACACAAACAGGAACACAGTGAGCCATACACAGTCACGAAATCATGACGACGAAAAATCCTGAAATGATGCTCACCTGCACCAGGATCATGTTGAGCTTTGCGATGTAAACCCCCTCTTTCTGTAAGAGCAAAAACACAAGTCGGTAAGGATGCGTTCAGTGACGTGACAAGTACAAATCAGGGTTATTATAGTTAACTAAAACTTTAATAGGAGTTTTAAAGTTGTTTCATATTTCAGAAATTCAATCAATTGAAATTGACTAATTAATTAAAAAAAATTAATAATTAAAACTATATTATAGGGATGCACGATATATCAGCCAACATCGGTATCAGCTGATACATGTTCATTTTTAATGTTATCGGCCCGATAAGGAAGCTAAATTTGGATAAAATAATGTATTATTTCCTTCAGCTGAGACACTTCAGATTCAGTTTTGAATGGCTGGAAATATGATTCAAATCACTTGAAAATACAGTTCAGCTCAAGTCTGTCATATCGGCTACATAAAATCATAATGAGAACGTTAAAATTGTGTGCTTGGGACATGGATTTTAATAGTACGAGTTTTGTTTTTGTAATCAGGCTGTCAAAAACTATTTTACATTTTGGATTTAGATTTATCACCCAATATATTGGTTTTCAAATATGAATTATCCGTATCGGCCAAAATGTTCATATCGGTGCATCCCTACTATTATTATTTCAGTCAGTTTGTCGAAGCAACATTTCTCATTTTTGTTTAGTTTAAGTTGAAGTACTACTTCAATTGAAAAACTGAACTAGTATATATATATATATATATATTTTTTTTTTTTAAGAAACAAAACCTTTAGTAAAATGAAATAAAAAAACAGAAAAATATGTAGTCCGAGTCGAGACCGAGAACAGAGAGAGTCGAGTCCGAGTCGAGACCGAGACCAGTGAGGGTTGATTACCTAATTTACTTTTATTTACTTAGAGAAATCCTTTTTTTTTTTTTTTTTACTGAATTTACTTAGAGTTTAAAAAATATGATCAGTTTAGGGTAAAAAGGCCACATAGTAGGTGGTGTTAAAAGTAATTTTATTACAATTTGTCATGCGCAGTTGCACACTAGAAATCACCAATCACTGGGCGTGTCAATCAATTTAAAGAAATATTTTATTAACATACATTAATAATCATGAAAAATATTTTGAACTGAACTCGAGTGGACTCGGGAACAAGTCCGAGTCCTAAAAAAAAAAAAATTGTTCGAGTACGAGTCAATTCCGAGTCCAAATGGACACGAGTCCATGACAAGACCAAGACCATTAAAATATGGTCTCGAGACCGAGTCCGAGACGAGTCCGAGTCTCGAGTACTACAACACTGATATTTCTATTACCTCTACGCTGTTGGCATCGGAGGAAGTCTTGATAATCAGACCAACGACATACTTCTTAATTCCTGTGAACAGACAGAGCCGTCAGTTATTTGTTCAGTCCTTGCGCAAGGAGTCATTACGTTTTTATATGACAGCATAGTTATATAATGTGGAGGGGTGTAGTAGATTCTCCATAGAGCAAGGGTCCCTCAATCTATTGTCCTGCAGAGTTTAGCCCCAACCTGGATCAAACACACCTGCCAATAACTTCCTAAAGACCTTGATTAGTTTGATTCAGGTTGGAGTAAAACTCTACAGGAAAGTGGATCTTGAGGGCCAGAGTCGGGATCCCCTGACATAGAGACGATCAGTGTCGTCATACGTTCCCTCACCTTCACATTGGTTTCGTGGAAGAATCTTCCAGCGTGTTTTGATCACTGTCTCCAGTATCTGAAGGGCGTAATACTGCAATACAGACAACAAAAGGATTAAACATCAGTTAATGTGGCAGCAAAAAAAAAAAAAAAAAATTGTGAGCATTTTTGACCCAGGAAAAAAATTATTGGGTCAAAAATGGTCTAGTGGTGGTGGACAACACACACACATTCCTCATGTGAAGGATGAGCCCAGTACTGACAATAAATCAAAATCTGTATGTAAAAAGTTGCCAAGGGTGGGATTTGAAAATTAGTAAAATAATGAACAAAGTGGCAGGTCTATTATTTTGCATTTGCACTCCAAGACTTAATGCACAGATTGGTATCAGAATAACAGCAGCGAACAGTGCTAGAGTTCACACCATATGCAGACTTGGGTAATGTTCGCAAATGCACACCCGAGTTCAGAAACCCATCCAAAAAAAAAAAAAACTGAACTCTGTCAATCAAACCTGTGTGTGCATCAAACATTTGCCTGGCAAAATGTAGAAAGGCATTAACGTTGACATACTTTTGTCTTCATGTTCTGTGAGAACTCCAGTATGGTGTCGACTCTGGTCCATGCATCTGGGTGGTCCTTCAGGTTGGTGAGAACTTCTTGTGCAAGCCTTTGCTAAAATAACGAAAACCATTTTTGAGGCACTGTACGTGTCTGGCAAAGACCAAACCATGATCTGAAGTGTTCAAAGCCGTCTTGGATTTAGCAAATTTCCACATACCTGAGATCCCACATCATAGTACATGGAGTTGACGACATTGTCCAGCAGGTTGATGTCTAACTTCTGACTGAAGTCCAGCAACTGTCGTGCTGTGTGATCCGCCAACATGGTCATGTCTGCCGGCATAGAGCTGCGGGACACCAGGGGACAAGACGGGCCCCATCTTTTAGTTTTCAAATGTCGAGTGGCACTTCTTTGACTCCTCATCCCATTATCAATTGATCATTTCAATTAATGAAAATGTTGTTTTTTTTATAGTTTTAGGTTCAATTGACTAAAATTGATTAGTTAACTTAATTGAAATAAAATATTCTATATTTAGTACCGTTTTTTTAAGTACTACTTCAACTACTAAAACTGAACAGAAATCGAAACACGGGTAAAAATGGCAAAAACAACAAAATTACTACAAATTTAAACAAAATGAAAACAACTAAAATTCTAAATTTAACAAAAACTAAAAAAATATGTTGAATGAAACACTGGTACAAAGTGAGCACTTATATTACCGCTACACTACTAGATGTTTAACCAGTGATTACTAATATTAAAGTTAGAGACTAAACAAAGGTGTCTCACACCACGTGTGTCCACAAAACATGTATTTACACCGAAATACAACCTATAATGACAGCGAGTGCAGTTTTGCTGAGATCACTGATATTAGTTCTCCATGCTAAAGAAGTGCTAACATGGCAGATCAACAAATTAACTCTGTAGGAAAAAAAAAATCGAATAAAATATCTTAATATAGCCTCAATCAACTTTTTAGAAACCAGCCCACATTATTTCAGGCTGAGCTTCTGCAGCTATGGGCAGCGATAAGGAACAAAACGCGTTTTTGTTTCTGTTTCACATCAGCAATGTCAGCAAACCAGCACTTCATTCAACTCGCTTATCTCAGTTGTTAATATTTATAACACACAACCATCTCACCGAACACCTTTAACTTACCTGTTTTATACAAAACTCCTCTTTTCGCTGAAAAAAAAACCCAAAACAATGCTAACGTGGTAATTTGGAACTGGGTTTAATGTCGTGGAAATATGCGTCGCGTCAAAACAGGGTCAAAGACGTAAAAAAAAAAAGGTATGTTTGATCTATATCATTATAAACGCTAGCGTGTACAAATATTCAAAAGGAAATCTGAGTATAAAGCAAGTTCACTTTAAATGCTAACTAGCTGGTTACCTCAATGTATAGCCATACACACTACAGTGCAGAGAAAACGATACATGAAACCCCCCGAACACACACAATTTCGGTGTTATTTTTAATTATTGTCTTCAGTAATTGAGTCCGGGTCCTCTTTCAGTCAGCAGCTCGTGTTAGTTCATCTGTCTCTCTGTATGGCGGTTTACAGCTCGCTTTAACAACTCAGTCCGTTTTATAACAACAGCATCAAAGCAATCGTTAGTTTATTCTTTTGTCTATTGCAGAAAAAACGTTGTTTTATATCAAATATCTGCGAGAGACTGTGACCCAGCTCCTCTCCAGTCTCATACATCACACGCAAGACCGGTTGAAACCGGTTCAGACTGGCATATTCCATCTCGGTTTAGTTTTCAGCCCGTAGCGCCGCGTAAAATTCGGACTGTGGACACGCCCTCCGCTGCAGCTGATTGGCTGGAGAGAGAGCAGGGCGGACACCTTGCTGGCACGTGATTGGCTAGAATAGCTGTCTGTCAGGATTGACCCCTCCCAGCGCGTATTTTGCCCTTGGTCTCATGTATAAGGCGGGTTTTGCATCACAGCGTGAGCGTGAGGTGGGTTGGACCGCGTGGAGCATGGAAAATTACTGAGATGTTGCCGTGATCTACAAACGGTAACTGACCATGCTGTGCGGTTTTAGGCTGTGGCTCATGTTTGAAATGCTCTATATGCTTGTTTATATAGTTTTATAGTAATAAAAACAAACAAATACATATTCAAATTACAATCATAAAGTTGATTTTCACATATTAAGTTTATTTTTCGCCCATTAATAATCACACACATACAAACAGTCATTTTATTTGTAACATATTCAGTAATTTAGTGTTTTGGACCCTTTGTTAAATATATCTGATTAGGGGATAGACATATTTCCACATGTAGTATGATACATTCATTACTGCTAATGTAAACATGTCCAGGTCACATTCTGCCCCATGTAAACAATAGAAACAATACATTTATCAAATTAAGCTCATCATTAAGATTTGTTGCATTGCATGATTATTTTCAATATAATTCAGCAAATTACCATTACTATAATGCATATATTATATATTTAAGGGTTTTTCTTTTGTTTTTTCGCTAAATCTCTTTGTCGTCAATGGTGATTCTCAGTACTATTGTTTTTTGGTTTTTTTACAATTGCAATGTTTTTTATTATCATTTAATATAGGCTACTTAAAGACTTTAATAGTATAAGTACCTTAATAAATATATATATAAATATATATTAGTTTAATTAATACATTTTTATTTTACATATTATTCTTTTTTTTATTATTTAAAAAAAAAAAACAAGGTCTTAACAAGGTTTTTAAGATTCAATCTACTAGATGTATCCAACAAAAATTTACTATGGAGGTTTGTTCAGTTCAAAAAACATCAAATACCCAAAAGCAAATGACATATCTTAGGAAAACACCAGTTTTCTCCATTAGGGTAATTTCTGTTTCTCATCACTTTTCTGATCTTTTCATTTTACTTAGTGAATTAACTAATTAACACTCCCTGTTCTGCTCCTGTTGCTATGCTGACTGCTATTACTTTCGCTACCCATTCTGCTCTGGCTGTGCTTACTGATGATGTCATCGTCCTTATCATCAACATCATCATCATCAAAATCCTCCTCGTCACCATGTGAGTGTCTTTCATCATTGCCCTTTTCCTCATCACTGTCATGATACACATTGAGTTTCTCATCCTCATCTCTGTCCATGAGTCCTGGCTCCATGTCGTGGTCATACTCCTCATAATCATCTGGATAATCATCGAGAAGAGAATCCCGCAAGTTTGGAAGGTCTTCGTGATCTTCGTGTCTGATTTTACTGTGGAAAAATGAATGAAAACAATTCAGAAACTCAGAGAAAGGTAATAATTCCTTTAAAAATGTTCTTAAAATGTATCACAAAATAGGCTTCATGTCAAACAGGAAAGCAGGCCTCATTGCATCCAATTGTGGGAGAAAGTGATAGTGATATCTATGGAGATTTAAGATAATCAGATATCGGTTATGCTCATCTTTGCCCGCTCCTTATATCTTGAGTAAAACAGCTCTACATATACCAAAGCACATATACAACAAAGACTGGAAGTCATGCAAACTGTTTAACAGAAGGCGGAAGTTTATTGCACATACCTATGTGTGAGTGATATCACACCTGTCATACCTGTATGTGGGTGGAGTCTGGCTGCCAGAGTGGGCGGGGCTTGGAGTCTGTCTGTGTGTTGATGCTTTAGGGGCTTTACTGCTGATGAAGGACTCACTCAGACCACATCCATGCAAAGTGGCAGAATAGAGCTTTTCAGCTGCTCTCTTAGCATTCATCTAAGAGAGAGAGAGCTTTACATTATCATTTTCATCACCATAATTTGTAGATATCTTCAAGATGCTTGTCCTCTAACTTAATATTCAACAATATTATTGATCTGACTGTACTGAACAGAGCTGGACGAGGACATCATTTTTTTCAGAACTGCTTTATAGATGAAATGAACTAATTTAATGTTTGATGATCTTTACAACTGAACTGAACAACAGCCAAAATGTATCGTTTACCAGTTTATCACTGTAAAGCTGCTTTGAAATCATCTGTATTGTTTAAAGCGCTTTATAAATAAAGACTTATTGAGCTGCACAAAACAAAACAATTTTTAATTTTTAATTTAATGCAATGAAATGAAAATAGCTGTTCAACAAATTCCAAAAAGGAAACTTTTTCTTAGTAAAAAAATAAATAAACAGATCTCACCTGTGCAACCTGCTCCAGTAGCAGAGGTCTTCCCTTCACTCTTTCCTGGATTTCTCTCATCTCTTGCTGGAACTCTCTCTGTCTCTGGAGGTCTTGTTTCCTGTTCCCATGTGGACATGTATAATATATAAGCATTCATATGATATGATATGAAGTCCTGAAAAGTGAAGCCAAAGCCCCATTGGGGTGGCTGGCTGCAGTATCGGTCTTAAACCAATGAAATTATAATTCTACAGAAGAGTATTGCATACACTTGAAGAAAAAAAATCTACTCTGTTTTTCTGAATTAAAAAGTTAATTATCTCAGAATTACGAAAGAATTTTTCATGGACATTTTTTTGCTGTTTTTCTGAATTAATGACTTGATTTTCTCAAAAATGCAGAGAAACAGAGCAAAACTTTTTTCCATGAAAAATTCTCTCGTAATTCTGAGATAAGCAACTCGTTAATTCAGAAAAATAGAGCAAAACTTTTTTTCCATGGAAAATTCTCTCGTAATTCTGAGATAATTCACTTGTTAATTCAGAAAAACAGAGCAAAAACATTTTTGCATGAAAAATTATCTCGTAATTCTGAGATAATTAACTTGTTAATTCAGAAAAACAGAGCAAAAACTTTTTTCCAAAAAAAAAATGTTCTCGCAATTCTGAGATAATTAACTCGTTAATTCAGAAAAACAGAGCAAAAACTTTTTTCCATAAAAAAATATCTCGTAATTCTGAGATAATTAACTCGTTAATTCAGAAAAATAGAGCAAAAACTTTTTTCCATAAAAATATATCTCGTAATTCAGAGAAAATTAACTACTTTATTCAGAAAAACAGAGCAAAAACCTTTTTTTTCATGAAAAAAAGTTAATTCTGAGATAATTAACTCATTAATTCAGAAAAACAGAATACATTTTTTTCTTCAAGTGAATGCAAAACGCATCCGTATAATTCAATGGGAGACCAACTAGAAAAATCCAATTGCATTTATTTTTTATTACAAATATTTTTTTCCCAAAGATCCTGGAAAGTTTTTTTTTTCCAAAGGTTTCTGTCAATTTAGGTAGTTTTCATGCAGACGCATGTTCAAGTGGTCAATTGTTATGAGTATATAAATGCATAATTCTGACTGACCAAAATCTGTTTTAAAATCAGTTGCACTTTATTTTACAATAGATACACTTACATATACTTACCTAAGAAAGTACTTGGCAATATAAGGTAGCTACCTGGGTTACGGTTAGGTAACTTAGTTAATTCCACAGTTATTGGAATTATTATAATAAGTACATAGTACTTGTATGTAAAATATAATGCTACCATTTAAATTAATTATTGATGCAATGCACTTATAGTGTACAGACATACACTGAAATAAATACCTGAATGTAATTACCTGAACTCTTTTAGTTTGGACGGGCAGGTCTGAGCCAGGGCCACATGTGGGTCGTTGGCCTGGGCTCGCTTTGTGATCACTTTCTGCAATCTCTTCTCTCTTTGCTTTTGCTTCTCCTTCCATTTCTCCTCTTCGTCTTCGATCCGCTTTCTTTGCTCAAGAACTTTTCTACTCGTAGGAGTAAAGAGTCAGGACTGAACTTCTGAAGGAGGGACTCCTCTTATGGGATGACGGCGCTAGGGTAAGGGACAGGGTTTGGGCTAATGCTGCATTCATATGCTATGGTAATTATGGTAAATACCAAAAGCCGACGTGGAAAATGCACATGAACACCCCCTCATGTGGTATTTTCTACTGGGCAACTCGTAGAATATTTTGATGAACGAGTTGCCGAGATGAGAGATAACCTTTGAACTTTTCAAAATGGCGGAGAGCACCGCAAGAGTCGTGAATGGTAAAAATATATACTATTCATTATCTAGAAAATATATAGCATATTATTTACCTTTTGAGTTTTGATAAATCATTTTCTTGCTGTTAAGCAATCTGAAAAAGTTTTAGCTAAATAACAGGTCTGGATCTCCATCTTTTTACCACATTACGACAACAAAAGCACTTGAACGAAACACACTGGTAAATACCAGTTCACAAGTGGAAAATATCCTACTTTCCATAGCACGTGAACGCAGCAAAAATGCTGCCTTCGAGTCACTTCACAATGACTGTATTTTTTAACATGCACACACCACAATATTGTAATACTTTATAGTGGGAAACTCTTTGAATGCCAAATAAGTTGGAGGTGTCAATTAGCTGATTAGCTCTGTACTATTGATGAAGAATTGCACTAAAACTTGCTAGAAAGTACCACTTATTTACCTGGATTATAAATTGATGAGCTTGCATGACAAAACTTCACGTTCTCTCATTCCCATCATATCATTTGCACTTCATTTTGGCTAAATTCAGAAAAGCATTTTACTTATTATTATTTGAGTCTGACAGCGGCCGTCCACTTTTTCAGCAGCCTTGGTTCCAGAAGTATTTCTCCAATTGGGATTTTTTTTTTTTTTTAAATTTGGACCAAAATCAATCCTATTGAACCTCCCAGGAGGACTTGAAAGCAGCGAAAGGATTGAGGGGCATCTACATCTCAGTAAAGTCGTTTACTGTTCATGGGGTTATTAACGGGACACACACTGGCAGGGAAAGTCAAATTCCAGCTTTGGAATTCCCAAAAGCCGGAGACACTGGGGATTTTCACTGGGAAAGCTCTAGCAGGATTGGGCATCGCAGTTACCTCACAGCTTCTTGCCGTTTCTTGGCTGCGTCCGTGATCTTGGCGGTCAGGCACTCCTGGCTTCCGGACAGCGAGGAGCAACGGGATGAGGAAGGCGAGAGGGCGCGTGGGCTCACAAACGGCCAGCGTGACAGTTTCGGACTCTGTATCTCTGCTTCGATTTCCGCCACGATGCGTTCTTTGTGCGAGGCAATGTCAGCCGTGCGCAGCTGGAAGGGTTCGCATGCCGTCACGGGCCGCACTTCTTTGCTCTCCTCCAGCTGCTTACGAAACCTCCTGTAGCGGGCGGCAAAGTCTGGAACTTCGGTGTTGATTTTGGGTCGGTGGGCCGGTTCGTCGTCCCGGACGGCCTTCGGCGTTTGTTTCTCGCTGAGACGCCGTGCTAGCATGCTAGGAGGCATGGATGCGTTGTGAAGCATTTCTCTCGCCCGCATCTGCATCTTTATCGCCCTGTAGAGCTCCTCCTCTTTCTGCTGCTCACCCGACGCTGCTTCCCTCACCGCCCGCGGGACGGGTTTAGCCTTAAACAGGCACCTTTTCCTCTCCTCTTCCTCTTTGACGTGCTTGAGCTTGGCCTCCTTCTGCTCTTTCTTCAGGCGCTCGCGCTCCAGGAAGCTGAAGGGTTTCTGCGAGGCGTGTAGACGTTTCTGCTCCGTGTCCCGATGGCGTCGCCGGCGCTCCTTGTCGCGCTCCTGCTGTTCCTCGTAGAGCGCGAGACGCACGTGCGCGGGCACCGGGCTGGCGCGAAACTTCCTCTGGCACTCGGTTAGCTCGTCTAACTGGCGTCGGAGATCCTCGTTCTCTCGTTCGATCTCAGCGCGTGATTTTACGCCCTTCTTGCGCAGTTCCAACTCGCGAAGGGTCATCTGGAAAGGCTTGGGAACCGTGACTCTCGGATGCGAATAATCGTCTGCGTTTTGCTTGCGTTTATTTAGCCGTCGACCTCTAATCCTTCTTTTGGGTTTGCAGTCAGTCTGGCAGTCAGCGGGCAAGCTCTGCAGGGAGGATGAAAACGGCTGGCATTGTGACGAAGAAAGATTTTTGACACTGAAGTCATGCCACATGTTCTTAATGTGCTCTTTGGGCGAGACAAGAAGGCCTTTTTCTGTGTTGCCATCTCGTTGGCCGTTTTCATCAATGCACTCTTCATCAGAAAGGTCAGAGGAGTCTGAAGTCTTTCGCAGCTCTAGAGCAGACTGGGCTTTTTTCAGACCACCGGTTATATCTGTGGAACTGTATAGAAAAAATCTGAATCATTTTCTTATTTTCATTTTGTTAATAAGCTAACACTGATGGAAAATGCAAATGGAAATTGATTAAAAATGACAGTAAAGACATTTATAATGTTAGAAAAGATTTCTATTTCACATAAATGCTGTTATTTTGAACTCTCTATTCATCAAAGAAAAAAATTGTATAATATTTTCCATACAAATTTGAAGCAGCACAACTGTTTTCAACATTGATAATAATCAGAAATGTTTCTTGAGCAGCAAATCATCGTATTAGAGTGATTTCTGAAGGATCATGTGACATTGAAGACTGAAGTAATGATGCTGAAAATTCAACTTTGATCACAGGAATAAATTTTACAATACACTACCTGGCCAAAAAAAAAAGTCGCTGTTTGGATTTAAATAGGCAAATGCTTAAAGTCCCCCTTGTCATCAATAATTTTATCCCTTGAAACTTATCTTTAATCAAAAAAAAAAATTCTTCATGCCTTAAAATTGCTTGAATGTAACTCTACACCATTGCCTTATTTAGTATACATGTTTCTATGAATATGCAAATGAGCCCCGCCTCCACTCACTCACTCAGCTCAGAGATTCACTGGTTGATGATCACACGTTAATCTGATTGGTTACAAGGTAGTGTGTGACGTCAGAAACACCAGCGATTTCAAACCGTGTGTTTGAATCAGAAAATACTCAGCAATGCTGTCGACACATGAATTTGCACATGGTTTGTCTTAAAGCGTATTAAAAACACAACATATAAACAACATTAAAAGCTTGATTTTCACCACAGGTGGCCTTTAAGTCTATGACTAGATCATTATTGCAGTGATTATTATGTTTCTCTTGAGGTGCGTCAATTTTTGCTGGAGATCTTGTATTGACAATGCAAGAGTCTGTAAAGTTTTCCCCAGCATATCCCAAAGACTTAAAGATCTGGATCTGAAATGATTCTTCGTGCTCCTCCCAACCATTCTTTCACAATCTGAGCCTGATGAATCTTGACATTGTCATCCTTAAATATGGTCATGATGGTTCTTTTGTTTTTTCCTACATGGTTGTTTAAGAAATTAAAAGCTACGCACTCCATCATTTAGGGTAAGAAGAACTATTGCCAAACGTAATTTTCTAGAAACACAATAATCACAGCAATAATATTTGCCTATTTAAATACAAACAGCGACTTTAAAAAAAAGAAAATATTTTAAATTGTAATAATATTTCACAATATTACTGTTTTATTTTTTTTAATTAGTCTTTGTGAGCAGAAGAGACATCTAAAAAATCGTCGGCCCCAAACTTTTGAAGGGTAGTCAATGTACCCAGAATCCCTTCAGTTTGTAAAAGCACACAGCTAATGTATTTATGAAAAGATGTTAAACTCACAGACTGATCCGATCAGTGTGGTCCGCATCGCTCACCCCTTTGAGGTTCAGTTTCTTGCGATACATGAGTTCGAGTTCAGCCATGGTTTGGAGATGAGCCGTCTTCAGCTGCTCTAGTTTACGGTAGTACTCCTGGTTTGAGAAGTAGAACTCCCTGAGGTCGATGTGATCGCCCGTTACACGGTAGTCTTTGATCAGCAGAGCATTGCTGTCTTTAGCAGGAGGACCATCAGCTAACAGCTCCGATCCAGAGTCATACTCCACCTATTAAGGGTATATATACACACAATGACAACAGGCTGACTTGCTTGCATACTTCTTCTCACTAAAGTCTAGCAGGTTGAGAATGCATACCTATTGCATTGATATTTTGGGCAAAAAAATACTTTTTGGTAGGCCTACTTTGTGCCTTGCTTTTACATTAATGTCAGTATATCTTGGCAATTCTTAGTACAATTCTTGATCCTTTGACTGACAAACTAAAGTGTATGCTTTGAAATCAAGAAGTGTAGGTTAAAAATGAGATTCAAGTGTTTTCATACGTCAGACTCTTTTTCTTGTCTGGAAAACAGTTGTGCGGTCAGTATAACTGTGTGTGTGTGTGTGTGTGTGTGTGTAAGCTGTTAATCTGCAGGTCTGTCGTCTTTAGGGCCAGATGGCAGATTGTTCTTCATTCAAACATTATATTGTCTCACGGTTATTCACCATATTTGAAAAGAAACCTACAGCATATGTAGTTAAATTAGGACTTTAGACTTTATTGGAAAATGAAAAATGAATAAAACGTTTACTTGTGAATAATTGTAACCTTTGATGATTATTTATTTAGTATACTTATACGAGTAAACAACCACATCAGTCAATTAATTTTCCCTACTGATGTCCAACAAAATTAGCATAACATGCTTATTGAACCTCGATAACAGTTACAACTTCATCTTTCTTCTTAATCAATAGTGAGATGTTAAACCACCCCTATTCTGTCACACAACTATTACTTTCTACATTGTGTAAGTTAGATCATGTAAGTTAAGCCCAAACGATTGATATTGCCAGGAAAACATTGACTGGCAACTTCTGATGTTTCGCTCTGTGAAATATATCTAACTAATCTGTTAGGCGATATTGGCCCTAAAGTAAACCCCACAATGTAATTAAAACACTTTCTTTCATACTTAGTCAATAATAATGCGGTTCAATATGTTTTAGTCACCTCTTTCTCATAGTGCCTGTTGTCCAGTGCTCGCTCCCGCTCATACTGAGCTAACGGGACTTTAGTGTGCGGGTCCACCGGCGTCTTCAGACAGGACGTCACCAGGACATTAGTTCGGTGGGACTTCTCCATACTTGTCTCTCTTCCCAGACTGGTAGATTTAACTATCTAATTTAACAAGTAGCTAACGGTAAAGACTGAATTTTTCCCTGACTGTAACCGGTGCGCGTCTCCTTGACGACCGCGTAGCGTCGGGAAGCCGCAGTGACGTCGCTGAGCCTGAGCCGCGGGAGCGCGCATCTATAAAAGCAGTTTATTTCTGCCTCTGAGGCTTCAAAAGCGATGTTTAAAAATACGTCTATTTACATGTATCTAAAAAAGGCAGATGGTATTTTACATTACTAATGTACAAATTCATTTCCCGTCCCAATATAAGCAAAATATAAATATAATTGATTTTTTTGGCTAAAGGTCCTGACTCTCACGACTGTTTTAACCATTAAATGCATGAATGTTTCACCAATCATTTTTACACATTCGGGTCTTTATCGATCTAGGATGCATCTATTCCTGTCGTGATGATATAAAACTCTCCTGATATTAGAGTTACAATAACAGAAGAATAAAATAAAGCATAGTTTGTTACCTTTTGGTGCTGCAGGTTGAGCAGATGTTTTATGCAGATGTTATCATCATCATCAGAGCTCCTCAATACAATCAGCATCTGGCTTATATTCACGATCTCAAACATATTTCCAAAACTATCATTTTCAACATCTTCAAAATCAATATTTTGATCACTGACAGCTTATTCACCAGATCCATCAAGTGACAGTGATAGCGTTCAGCACTTGCTCTGCAGTAAATCACTGAGACATTGCAAGTTTTGCTGATGATTCTTCCTATTCTTTTGTTTTCTGCCTGCGATGATTATGAGTGAAGCATCGCTTCATCAGTGTGTATCAGACATCGCCACCTTGAGGAATAAAGGTGAACTGCACTTTGTACTTATTCAGTCAGTAAAGATTCAAATTATTGTTGTGCAGAAAAAATATACTTAAGCTGATACACACCTCAGGTTATTACTGACCCTATATATTTTTACAAAAAAAATAATAATGGGAATACATGCATTTCATACTTTTTTCTTGTTATAGGCTTATGTCTAACTTATTTAAAAAAATGATGAGGAGGGGTCACTAAAGACCCGAGGTATGACTAACTTTTACGCTAAATCATAATACAGTGTCAAAAATGACAGTGTTGGTTGTAAAAACTGTACAATTTGTTTAATAACCAAAAGCGTAACTAGCTATGCCAAAAAAACATTAGCATGCAATATTATGGCATGATTTCATCCCATTCCATAAAATTTGACGCCAAGGAAATTACACAATAATATTGAATTTTTAATCAATTTGGATCATTGCAGCAGGTGCATTCAACAACACTGAAAAGTTGTTGGACTTTTAATTAATGGGAAATACAAGTTTATCACTCAATTTAATTTAGATGACCCCGTGTCCCATTCTGGTGTATTTTCTGTGTGCAACAATACTGGGTTTTAACTGCGAAGGTTGTTGATTAAAACAAGGACAGTCAGCTGTTGATCTCAGACTTTCTCAGGCCTCACAGCACAGCCCTGTCTCTGATCACATAAGCAGATTAGCTAACACGATTAAACTTCCTGACATGGCCACGACAACCTACCACCATGTAAATAAATTATTATATGCACCATATCAAAGAAAAGAAACAGTTACCATGTCAAAAAACAAGTTTTATTAAATTACTCCAGGTAACAGCTACAGACAGCGACAGATCAGTTGGTTTTAACAGAGTTCTTGCGTGGACTCGGATCTTCCTTCACTAGACACATTCACTCTATCGTGTGTTCACCTGCAGAACAAATGAGACGTCATCATTAATGTTTGAGCGTTTATGGTCAACATCAGCACTAATGACGCTGCTTTCAGGCAAGGCACTACAGAAAAGCAGTTTTTCATGCACTGGTCAATTACGTTTTTGTGCTTTTTAGAACTTGTTTTAGACTAGAAAGAAACCCCATTTTATTGCACTTCATCTATTTGAGCCTGTAATTTAATTCTATTTATATTCTGAAGGTTATTCGTATGTCCTTTTTTCGAGCCGTTGACTGTATTTTCTGATTCTATGGTTGAAAAAGTAATAATAATAATAATATATTTTATTTATAAAGCATGTTTCATAGTTAAAAACAATCCCAAAGTGCTACAGAGTATAAACAAAGATAAAAACTAAACGGGAAGAAAAATTAAAAAGTTAGCAAAAGGTAAAAAATGCTTGCTTAAAAAGTAGGGTTTTTAGTCCTTTCTTAAAAGAGTCTATCTATGGTTTGAGGAGCCCTCAACCCATAAAAAAAGAAAAAAAAAAAAAGAAAAAAAGTAGAAATCCAAAACCCCATCAGTAAAACCTTTTGACTAGTATGTGAACAAAATAAAACTGGAATTGTGAACCTTGATTTATCCAATGTTTTGCACATTTATGCACATTAGTGTACAAATGTAATTAGATTGCAATTAATTTTTTTTTTTTTTTGCAATTCTTAATGTACATCAATCAACTAGGGAAGTATGATGATATTAGATCAACTTTTTTTCACTTGTGGTGTATTGTTAAATACTTAAAGGGATAAAGAAGTCCTGTCATTTACACAAATTATTTTGAAGAATATTGGTAACCAGACAGTTAATGGTCCTTATTGACTTGTATAGTATTTTCTTTCCTAATATGGAAGTCAATGGACTTCATCTACTGTCCGGTTCCCAATATTCTTCAAAATATCTTCTTTTGTGTTCAGCAGAAGAAACTCGTACAGGTTTGGAACAATATGAGCAGTAAGTAAACGTTTGGGTGAACTGTCCCTTTAAGAGCTCATTAGACTTAAATCACTCACGAGATCATCAATCTTGAGGATGCTGCGGACCGTTTCCGTGGCCAGGGTGAGTGCGCTGACCGAGACCAGCAGAGGCTGGACCACCAGCTCCTCCAGGATGTTAGAAATCCCACCCTGAGAGACCAAAACACATGTTAGCCATTCATTTTCTGATCTCCATTACAGCTTTCAGTCCGTAGATGGCACTATTGAGCGGCCACACCTTGCGGACGTTAATCCCGGCCGTCTTCTCTCCCTGAGCGTGTCTGTTGCGCAGCTCCGTGACAGTGGAGATGGGATTAAGACCAGCGTTCTCCGCCAGAGTGGAGGGAATGACCTCGAGGGCGTCGGCGTACGCGCGCACGCAGTACGCCTCCATGCCGGCCAGACTGCGGGAATACTCCGCCAACCTCAGAGCCAGCTCAATCTCTGGAGCTCCACCGCCTGCAATCAGATATCTGCAGATCCGCAGGGACAAGAGTTAGCACACAGCTTCTGCAGACTCAAAAGTTCATATCATTTAGATGCTTTATATGAGTTTAATGCAGCTCAGAGGTGGCATGAACACAGTTACACTGAATCTGAACTGAGTCTCTTGCGATCCGTTACCTCTTCTTGACCAGACAGCGGATGACGCAGAGGGCATCGTGGATGGATCGCTCGGCCTCCTCAATCACCAGTTTGTTGGAACCACGGACGACGATACTGACCGTCTTTCCGGGATTTACACAACCCGTGATCTACAAACACAAGCACACTGGGGTCATTATCCAGCAACCAAACATCTGAATCTCTGCATTGAGTACGTGTGTGTTTCTCGACCTGTACGCATTAAAAAAACAAGACATGTATGCTTACCTTCACTAGTTTGCCAGATCCGTCCAGGCTAACCTCTTCCGCTAGCTCGGCGGTTCCCAGCATCTCTGGAGTGAACTGGTCAATATGAGCTATAGGTTTGGTGCCAATAGTCTGATGGGAAAGATGAGGCATGTCCACTTCAGGATGTGTTTTAGATATCAGACACGGATTTAACACTAAAAACATTTGGTCGCACTTTTATTTAAGGTGATTTAGTTACATTGTACTTATTTAAATAAATGCTGAGCAATATTATTGAACTAAATAGGGTTTAGTAATTAGTAATTCATGTAATTACACATAATCTACTGTTTGCAAGCATTTAATGGTTTCACGACAGTGCTGGATCTGCTGGTCATACCTTGCAGATGAATTCAATGTCCTCTCTCTCAATGTCTTTGATCACCATGATCTTCATCTTATTCAGGAAGTGAAGGGCCAGATCGCTCAAGGCATCTCTGAAAGACACAGATTCACAAACCCGTTGAGACCGCTGACAGAGGCTGATGAGAGCTCGAGTAAAGCAGCTTTCTGAAGGCCTTTTGAAGAATGTCAGTAACCAGACAGAGGTATAGTGGTAGTATTGTGTTTCCTACTATGGTAGTCAATGGGGTCCTGGTTACCGAAAACCTTCAAATATATATTTTTTTGTTCAGAAGCAAGAAATTCATACAGGTTTGAAACAACATGAGGGTGAGTAAATGATGACAGGATTTTTTTAAGTGAACTATACCTTTAAATGTCCAAATTGAACTAAGGCTTAATCTAAACCCTGTCTGTGAAACCAGGCCTAAGTTTAGTGTATTCTTCCCAGTATAAAATTCTCCCCATAATCTAGATAGTAGGGCTGGGTATTGACACAAATTTCACAATTCGATTCGATTTCGATTCACAAGCTTGCAATTCGATTAAATATTGATTATTTTGGATATCAGTTCCAATAAATGGCAAATTTTCTCAAGGAAATCAAATCTCTAAACTAATGCTGTAAACTAAGGAAGTCTAGATGTAGCATGCTAGGCTTCATTAGCCTAATATGAAGGTAATAATGAACTGTTTTGTAGCTATACAAACACTTAAATTACACTTTTATTTATTTTTATAATAAGAAGATTATATAAACATTTAAATGGTGGCTGTCATAAAAACTTGCCAGATTTATTCGAATATGCATTCAATATTGAAGAAGATTATAATGCATATGTAATATGATGTGTATATTTATCAAAATGCTCCTCTCTAGAGTTATTTTTTCTATCTGACTAACGAGTTGATGTGGGTTTTCTGAGGTAAATATGACGATGCATGACATTGTTTGGATGTGGACGTCTTTCCACGGTTGAAACGCTGATTGAGCGAATCAATGTGACATGATACGGATTTGGATAAGTTGTACTCTATCTTTAACACACTTTCAGATGCTCGTTCATGTTTATTTGGCGCTGTGACTGGTATTATTAAGCCGGAAGTGAGATCAGCGCTGCTGCTTCTCTAGAGCTGAGCCAGAGCGATCTCACGCCACAGCGCCAAAACGCTATTTATGTTTTTGAATTTCTAAAGAAAATGGACATAATTTGAAAATCGAGACTGTTTCATATCAATATTAACAAAGGACAAAGATTATTGCGATACAATGTTCCATTCATTCAAATGAAACAGGATGACTAATCGATTCTTGAGATTTAAGAATCGATATCGGTTTGTAAAAATGAGAATCAATTAATATCGAAAAATCTATATTTATTACCCAGCTCTACTAGATAGACAATAAGAACATCAATAGTCATCACTGGTGTCCCCCAGGGTTCTGTCTTGGGCCCGCTTCTTTTTGTTATCTATATGCTCCCTCTTGGTTATATTTGAAGGAAATGCGGGATTAATTTCCACTGTTATGCGGATGACACCAACTCTACCCGTCAGCCAAACCCACTGGTTCTTTTCCATCACCATCTTTGTTCAACTGTTTAGCTGAAATTAAAGATTGACTTCTTGAATGTAAATGGCAACAAAACTGAGGCTCTGCTTGTTGGCATTAGATCTGTTTTGTCTAAAACTATTTGTCTTTCTTTGTACATCTGTCCTCACAGGGTGTCATCATGGATAGCACACAATCATTTGAAGCTCACAGTATTGCATACTTCCAGTATATTGCTTGTGAGGTGACCTTGGGTGTCGTGAAAGGCACCATTAAATAAAATGCATTATTATTATTATTATATTCTTTCCTCTGGATGTCATTTCTGGCCAGTTCTGTATATAGCAAGGTAAGTGCATCAGGTGATGGAGGTTTGTGGCGATTTTGTACCTCAGGATGGACTTCTGGATGAGCAACACAGTGCAGCCGGCTTTCTTGATCTGTTTGATGAGGTTGAGGATGTAAGCTCTCTCCTCACGGAGCACACGGTCCATCTGAGCGTAGTCCGACACCACAATCTGATTGTCCATCTGTCCCAACAAAAGCGTCACACAAACACATTAAAACAATGACTACGATTTCGACCAATGGCGCAAGAAGAAACATTTCACTTTTTTAGCATTAAACTGCATTTGCGTATGACCACGTACATCAGTTTTGGGAGGGGACAGGCAGAACTGGATGAGGCCGATTTTGGCCTTCTCCACACGGGACACCGCAGTGCTCACCCTCTGAGTCAACACCAGACCATCCACCAGCTCACAGTCATCAATGGTTCCTCTGCAAACACAAACACACCCATCAATTTGCTTATACAACCTGAAAACCGTCTGTAACCTGCAAACATATGAAATAGAATAAAGACTGGGGAATATTAGCAACACTTTGACAACGTATCCCTTTCCGTGTGGCTAAAGCAGCAACCTTCTTGAAACTGACTTAAACTGCAATTCATCGACTGGCCACTAGAGACCGGCTCCAAAAGAGAGTCAATCCCATAGACCCCCATGTTAAAATGCCCAACTTTACAGCAGAAAATAAAATGTTTACAGCCTGGTACAAAAAGTGGTTTTGGTCTATATCGCTAATGTTGTCCTTCATGGTGACTGTGAGGGGGGTGAATTTTTTTATAACTCATCCGTTTAAATTATATTAAGCCTTAAAATTCTGCATAATTAAGGGTGCGGCCACTTGATTGACAGGTGGATTGCCGCTGCTGTCACTATTGGCCGTTTGTCTGCTGTCATTTTCGTTTTTCTGGAGTTACGGCTCCGCCCACTTTGGGATTCAAACGTCACTACAGGTGACGTCACGGACACTACTGCGGTGTGCCTTGATTCTCAAAGTCAACCGTATCTGCCAGGTTTTACACTTATACTGCATCTCACCCGAGTTTCTTGACAATGTGGATATTGTGGAGATCAACGCTCGTGGCGGTGGCGGGGTCGATGACCTTCATGACGGCGTCGACGCTCATGGGCGCGAGCAGGCTGGAGTACTGAGACACCACCTTAGAGCAGAGCGAGGTGGTGGCGCTGTTCAGGAGCGTCTCTTTGTCGCTGAGCAGCACCGGCTGACTGATGGAGGTCAAGATCTCCACACCTTTATCCACAGCCTTCTGGAAGGACTCGGAAATGATGGTGGGGTGGATTCCTGGCAAGAAAAACAGACCATTTTTTGGTCAAAGGACACCCCAAAATGGCTTTTAAAGTCCTCCTGTGGTGAAAGTACAGTTTTAAATGTTTAAATTTAAGACAAACCATGTGAAAATTCATAAGTCGTCGGCATTGCTGAGTATTTTCTGCAGTGAACCAAAGAGTCTCAAAAACACACGGTTTGAAATCACATTCTGACGTCACACACTATCTTGTAACCAATCAGATCAACGTGTGATCGTCAACGAGTGGATCTCTCTGAGTGAGTGAGTGAGTGGAGACGGGTCTCATGTGCATATTCATAGAACCGCATATACTAAATGAGGCAACAGAAGAGTTACGTTCAAGATATTTTAAGGTAAAACGTTTAAATTTGTAATTTTGGTGGTCAAAGATGAGATTTAAGGGAGAATACAGGGGGACTTTAAAGCTCTGTCCACTATGACATCATGCTTCAGAGGGTTATAATGCGTTTAATTTTATGTCCAACATGCTGCATGTTACTTATTGTAACTAAAGCTTACCTTTCTGTAGCAGTTTAGAGCAAGCATCAAGAAGAGCTCCAGCGATCACCACCACTGATGTAGTGCCGTCGCCAGCCTCAATATCCTGAGCTTTAGACAGCTCCACCATCTGAAACACACGCAAACATATCCCATGATGAGTCATGCAATCATTCGGATGTTCAATTCTGTGCTGCACTGTTGATGTCCTCCTTTTTTTGTAATAACATCCACATTTTAAAGATTTTTTTTAATTTAAATTGGTAGAAAATCACAATTCATGTGTGAATTTCCCTCCCAAACCCTTAACAAATAAATCTGCACTGCAGTGAATATCAAACTGCCATTCAGCACGTCCAGGTTATAGAAATGAAGGATGTACCATTTTGGCGGCAGGATGAAGCACCTGCATCTGTTTGAGGATTGTGGCTCCATCATTGGTGATGGTCACGTCTCCCTTCCCATCCTGAATCTGCGGAGAACAAAGAAAACACAGTTGTTGATATACAGCCAAGTTCAGTGAAGCGTAAAACTTTCATATTATATGATGAGATTTATATCAGTGAAAAACAATACCATTTTGTCCATGCCCTTAGGGCCCAGACTTGTTCTAATGGCATCAGCGACAGCTGTCAATCAAAAGACAAGATCAACCAATCATTACACCTGCTGGCATATTTAATGCAAAATTTATAAAGAATTAAAAACCTATATATATATATATTCCACCACACATACAAATGAATATATGGTAACTAAAATGCACATTATTAAAAAAAGAGAATTATGTATAGTTTGTTTTAAATATTGTACACACACACACACACACACACACACACACACATATATATATATATATATATATATATATATATATGTATTTAAATGTATATATTTAATAATTAGATTAGGGCTGTCAAACGATTAATCGCAACCAAAATAAAAGTTTGTGTGGGTGCACTGTGTATAATTATTTTATATATATATATATATATATATAAAATATATATACACACACAAGCTTGTATATATTTAAGAAAAAAACATTTATATCTAAAATATTAATATAATATAAATTATATATAAATCTCTATACAGTATATACATGAAAAGATTTCTTAAATATTTACAAGGATGTGTGTGTATTTATAAACTATTTTTTATCAAAATTTAAACGAAATTTTATTTTGGTTGCGATTAATCGTTTGACAGCCCTAAATTATATATATATATATAAAAAAATTTAAACCAACATTTTGTATATACATGCATTTATGCATGTATAACATATATATATATATATATATATATATATATATATATTGTATATATATGTAACTATAATGTAATTAAAATAAATAAATAAAAAAATTAGTTCCCACATATTTTATACATTCACACTATTTTAAATAATGAATTTCTAGACACAATTTCATGACTTTCTAAATGAATGAAATGTGTGACGTCATTTTTTAATTATCACTAAAATAACAATATTTATACTTTGATTATATTCATGAATACTCATTTAGGGTCTATAACTGTAGAAGTCCTCATGTGTTGTCAAAATGAAGACCACGCCTAATATCTATGGACTCCAGTGACACTGATTCGCGTTTTAGTGATTATGATGATGACCATAAATGGCGACATTTTCCTCATAATGCTTTTAAACAAGGGCACGTTTGCAGAAATGAAAGCGTTCGTGTAACGTTAGATATTGTCATGTTTATAACGGTACACGACTTTCCCCGACTCATGCTACCGCTGCACATCATGATCTGCAGCAACGACACAATAATAAAGCAAACCCTGTCCGAGTTTCTGAGATTCACCGGGGATAAACTCACCTTTCCCGGCGCTGATGTTGCTGTAGCGGATCTGCGCGGGTTTGTCCCGGTCCACATACGCACCTCCTTTGTTTTTATTCCCGCTTGGTAACGCTAGGGCTTCAGGCATGATGGCTAATATTTACGCAGTTTTATTTCGTGGACTTCACAGACGCAGATGGACGTGTCCCGGTGTCTCTAGGCCGTCTCTGCGGTTCGGATGGGTTCAGATAACGTTCGGCTCGGATTCCCCAAACAGAACCTTCCAGATCCACCGGTCGCGACGGTAGCAGAAAAAGGACCCCGAGCGTGACAGTGCGGCGCGTGAGGATGACGTCCAGGGCTGTCTTAAACAATGCCTCGCGAAACTGCAGTGAGTAAATATGCTGTAGTGGATCTGCAACGCCCCCTTATATATAATTTTTTTTTGTTTATTGTGATTTTTGTGATATGTTTCGCGCGGTTTCTGTGCTTTAGGATGAAACGAGTTTGATTTAAAGGCGTAGTTCTGTGACACAGCGGTCATAAACACATGTGGAAGCAGCGCCCGTTCAACTTCACTGTCTTCCTCTGAGGATTGATTGAAGGTAAGCAGGAGGATGAGCGTGTTTAGTGTTGTTTGTGTTTGTCATATTAATCATGTGTGGTAACGTTTCAACTGATGCAAGCTTTTACAATACGTCGATTTTTATAAATATTTGGTCGATAATATTCGAAAAATATGTTATGTTTTTGCCCTCATCTTTGTCCTTTCAACTTCCACTTGATCTATTTGTAAAATATGCAGCACATCTAATAAAAGCATCGTAAAAATACATCTATGGAAATACAAGGTTGCATTTTGTCTTTATTAAAAATAAATAATTAAAAACAAAAAGAACATTCATGACATGATGTAGTTGAGCGATAGACTTTGTATCTCAAAATGAAAATCAACTCAATTTATTTCTATGCATTTATTTTTCTTAGATGTTCAGATTGCATTTTGGGTGTGTGGCTATAAAAATGACTGAAGAAAAAAACTGTTTTTAATAATAAAAAATATAATGTTTTTTTTATAATAGAAGTTTTATTTATATACAGTAGTGCCTTTCCATAGCTCAATGTCGCTTTACATTGTACATTACAATACATTTACACACTCATTACAGTCACATAGGATACACAGTCACATTATGTGAAATAATTAATTGTTTTGGACAGATGCTACATCATTCAATCTTCATCACCGTGGCGAGCTGCTCAGAATTTGTTTAAAAAGTAGTTTGTTTGTAATAAATGTACATTTACAGAATGTAAATTTTTAGAAATATTCAGGTAATAAAAGCACCTGTATATAAACCATTCCATAATTAAACGTTAGTCATGGCCGTATCATGACACACTCTGACATGTCTTGAGTCCCCTCAGCATGCTGTCGCTGAAAGAGAAGGACCGTCCCGTGGCGAGGAAGCTGCTGAGCGCCGGCTGCTGTGTGCGGTGTGTGCTGCGCTTCTGCTGTGTGGGAAGCAGCTCCGCGTACAGGCGCTCACACCAGGTCATACACTCTTTTGATTGGCATGAATACAGGCGTTGCTGCTGACGTGGCGTTAAATCATAAACAAATAAATTGACGTCGTGTGTCAGTCATTAATGAGCATTTGTGTTTGTAGGACATGCACAAGGAGCTTCTCGCCTTCGTCGGTGAGGAGTCCCATGATGCACCTGGAGAGGGCGAGACTGACGACCCGCCCAGTAAACGCATGAGAGTGGAGGAGGGTTGCTTCACTGAGCCGGACTCGGACGTTTGTCCCGTCTGTCTGGGAGTCCTGCAGGACTTCTGTCATCCCACTTTTGCCAAACAGGCATGTGTTTTTATTATAATTTTAGCAATACCTACAAAGAATCCCGTCACACAGAACGTTTCCAACAAAAAAGGTCTTTTGACTGGAGGGGATATTTGTTTTTATTGGCTCTACAAGCAGTGACCAAAAGTTATATATAAAAAGTTTAAATATATATATATATATATATATAAAATTTATATATAATTATATATATAATTTAAATACATATTTACATATATGTATTTACATATTTACACACATACATATGAAGAGTTCAGATGCAAAAGCCTCTAAGTGCCATTTGAAATTTTCTTCTAGAATGATAATTTTTATCAAGCTTGTATATTTAAGTTCAGTGATTTCACTTAAATGACAATGATAATTACCTATTAATTGTTATTTAAGTGAAATTACTGAACTTAAATATACAAGTTTGATAAAAATCATCATTAAAGAAGAAAATTTCAAATGGCATTTAGAGGCTTTTGCATCTGAACTCTTCATATATACAGTATATATATATATATATATATATATATATATATATATATATACACACACACAAACACACATCACTTTTGGTCACTACTGTGTGTGTGTATATATATATATATATATATATTTAGCAGTGACCAAAAGTCATATATAAAAAGTTTAAATATATATATATATATACTGTATATATATACTGTGTGTATGTGTGTATATATATATATATATATATATATATACACACACACACACACACACACACACATCACTTTTGGTCACTACTGTGTGTATATATATATATTTAGCAGTGACCAAAAGTTCCCAAAAGTGGGAAATTGCCATCTTCAACCTTTATTCACATATAAAAATGTGTTAACCGTTTTGTAAAATTATTGAGTAGTACACACTACAGTAGTGGCCAAAAGTTATGTGTGTGTTTGTGTTTATGTGTGTGTGCTTTTATAATTAATAATATACAAAAACATATTCTTCTTTACGCCGACACTTTACTTTCATATTCTTATTCTGCCGACACTTTACGATGAGCGTTCTTTTGATGACGTTAGTTAACGATAAACCACACTTCATAAGCATTTGCTAATCTTCATAGCTAATGTTAATCTCAACAATCACTAACACATATTTAAGATGAAAAGTTGCATCTGTTAAAATCAAGGCACTGTGAAGAAACACAAATGGGAACATAATTCTATTTAAAGCGCTTTGAGTGCCGAGAAAAGCGCAATATAAATGTAATGAATTATTATTATAAGCAAAGATTAATAAAAACTGTAGAAATATATTCAACGCATTCTCATCCTAGGGCGTCATATAGTGACGATTTTGACATTGCGTCTAAATCCGACACACATGGCACCCTTGAGCGTCAATATAACACGCTTGGGTTATGGTAGGTTTAGGTCTGGGGTAGTGTTAGGGTTAGACCACTAGGAGGCGCCTTCTGGCTCAGATCATATATATCTGCGTCTCATATTAACGTGCGTCCGATGTAGACGCGATGTCAAAAGCGTCATTATGTGACGTCTGGGATGAGAACTCATCCTGGAATATATTAACTAGTGATATCATATTGTAAAGTGTTGCCTATGTTCTTTCTGGTGTGTTTCTATACCTGTATAATGTTCGTCCACAGGTGTCAGACGCTGTGAAGAAGCAGCAGTTTGAGTTTGACAGTCTCGTGCTGACCGTTTCTCTTCCTGCCCAGCTGTCCATCAGAGAGGTGAGTCCCGCCGCCACACGTCAGCCGTTATCATCTACTTTCACCGTAGAAATCTGAACAAAATGTGTTTCTCTGTGCATTTTTAAAGCACTCCTGCTGGCTGCATGTCAGGAAGGAAGTCCGGTATGTAAGCAGCACACATTTCCCATCATTCCTAGCAACAGCATCTGTTTAAAGCAGGGGCTCTCCTCTGTCCCGGGCCACGTTTAACCCCACTTTTGGGTTTCCAGGGAGAAGAGCATGTGTTTGGGGAAAGATGATGTCATCCAGGTGAAGGATGCGTTCAAGTGGGCCGTACAGGGGAAGATCGGCCAGGAACTGGGAGCTGCTGTCCTGGCCAATGTGAGTCCTCCTTCTCCTCCTTCTGGATCGGCTTCCTGAGGAATGGGCTGTTATTTAAAGGGATAGTTCACTTTGAAATTAATGTTTGATATGTTTTATCTTACCTCAAGGGCATCCAAGATGTAGGTGTTTTTGTTTCCACAGTATTTTCAATTTTGATATTTTTAAGTCAAACCGTTTGTCTTTCAGTCATATAATGGAGGTCTATGGTCACCACCTCAAAGAGCATGCACAGAGAAGTCCAAATTAAACATGATTAAATGACTCGTTAATGTAAGCACACATTGATGGCCTAAGACACGAAACGAACAGTATTTATATCGTTTTTACCTCTTGTAACCACAGCCACGTCCATTATACTGTGAGGGCGCGGGCGCTTCGGTCTGCGCATGATTACACGAGGTAAAAACGATATAAATACTGTTCGTTTTCTCACACAAACCGCTCGTTTCGTGTCTTAGGCCATCAATGTGTACTTACATTTACGAGTCATTAAATCATGTTTAATTTGGACTTCTCTGTGTATGCTCTTTGAGGTGGTGACCATAGACCTCCATTATATGACTGATAGACAAACGGTTTGACCTAAAAATATCAAAACACTGCGGAAACAAAGACACCTAGCTAAAACATACCGAAAATTAATTTCAAAGTGAACTATCCTTTAATCTTCGTTCTGTGATCCGCAGAGTCCGTGTGAAGTGGGCGTCGGGTTTATCCACCCAGAAACCGAGGAGGACTGTCATTTCTTGTAAGTGGGTCAGTGACCGAAAGTGTTGGTTTTACGCTAACTTCAGTGGCAGGTTCGAATATTTGAGCTTGACGAATGAAAGCGATACTTGCTTAACACTTTTGAATATGGAATTGGAGTATTTACATAGATGCTTTTTATATGAATGAATAAATGTACATTTAATTGTAGAACGGATCACAATGATGTCACTTTCTGATTAATACGCATATGTGTCTTTCTTTGGGCAGAGCGAACACCTGTCCAGACTGTTTCAAACCTGGCAAAAACAAAGCGGTAAGCAAACACCCATATTGTGATCTCACATCTCAGCATGTTTACGATCGGTGTGCCGGTGTTCTGTCGATTTTTGCTGCCTTGTCGAAAAATGCTACCGTAGCGCGAATTGATCACAGAATGCCGATTAAAGTCGTATGAAATACAATTCTAAGTTATGAGTAGCTACTGTATACTGTAGACTACTGTTTTTATTTTTAAAACGGTGTGAAAAGTAAAAATTATCATAAAATATTCATCTTTGACTTGTCAAAGTACACCTTTCCTCATAGTAACTGAAACTTTCAGTTATTCCTTTTCAGCTGGCTGACCGTACAAATATTCATATGGCAGTAAGCATTTTTTAAAGGGAAATTATACATTATAACAGGAAAATGTACCTTTTGTAAAAAAAAAAAAAAAAACTGTGAGTCTGCACATGCGCATAACCGGTAAGTAGGAAATCTCGATGGGTAGCATGAATTGTCAGAACACCGGTTTGAAATGTAAAAGTAGCGTAACTCCTCTGGGTCTCGGTGTATCCGCAGTCCATCTTCACCAGGATGGCGGTGCTCAAAGCTCTGGAGAAGATCTCCGACGAGACGTTCAGCAGGTCAGTCAGTGTCGTTGGCGCTCATGCTCGCGCGAGGCCGCTTCTAACCCTTCCCTTTAAATGTTGCATGTGTCGTGTGCAGGAATTACCCATGTCCACCGAAGAAACCACACACTCCATGTTCAGCGCGGGACACCTCATGTCTCCACACGTCCGTCTTTATAGCAGGTTCGTCCAAATACTTTCCAAACTGCACATTTATATGAATAGAAAGTTAAAAAGCACAGCATCCGTTTGAAATGTATATATTTTTAGCATTATTGATGTTTGTATGTCACTTTTGAATAAAAGCATTATTTCGAAAGAAAAAACCAAACAAATCTCACCGTGTCGGCAGGTCGGTACAATAAGTTCTCCCGGGAGCTCCCGCAGACGCCGTGGGTGATCGATGGAGAGAGGCGGATGGATGGATCCGTGGAGGAGCTGATCGCCGCCCCGCTCCTGTCCTCCTTTAAAGCTGACGGTGTGTGTGTGTGTGTGTCTTCACGAGACGTATATGATGCACAGGGGTTGATTTCAGACCTGCAATGTTTACTGGCAAGTGTCTCATCCCTGCAGGTTTTAACTTCTCATCTTCAGGACGAGAAGACGTGGACGTGAGGACTCTGGGAAATGGTAAAACACACACTCTACATTTTTTCCACACTAATTATGCCTTATAATGTGACACAATTGAGGTTTGTGTCGAAGCAGCGGTCATGTTTTAGTTTACGCGTCGTTTCTCAGGTCGACCGTTCGCTCTGGAGCTTCTGAACCCACATCGAACCAAATTCAGCCGAACCGAGATCCAACAACTACAGGAGGTGTGTGTTCACTGTTCAGTATTAGTAACAGTCATGAGTACTCGTGAATTTATACGTTTTTTTACTGTTCTGTCCTCTAATAATGTCAATTCCTGATATTTTTAAAGTGTCAATGGTCCTTTTATTGTCAGTCAAATGCATATTTCTGATAAAAAAAAAATATAAATCTTTTTCAAAACTCGCAAGCTGTAATCTGATTGGCTGGCTTTCTCATTTCTGATGTGAATTTTGATTTCTGCTCTCTCCTGTCCTGCAGACGATCAACCAGTCGTCCGACAAAATAAGAGTACGACACCTTCAGATTGTTACCAGGTGAGTGTGTGTGTGTTGTCTATAAGCACAGCTATAAAGATATGAAGTCGATTCAGTTCTGGTTCCCATTCGTTTGGATGTTGATCAGGTACAGTAGTCATTTTTCTGGAGGAAATCTTGTCTCTGAGCATCCTGTAAACCCCACACTATAATATTGAATGTTAAAAATAGAATCGAGAAATCCACCTTTTCACTCCAGCCGTGGTAATTTCGAGTGCATTTCTTCAGGGAAGCAACAAGCCGCATGAAAGAGGGCGAAGAGGAGAAGACCAAGACCTACAGCGCCCTCATCTGGACTCAGAAAGCCATCGACGACTCGGATCTGGACTTCCTGAGAAACATCAAGGTCTTTCTGTGCTGTGAGATCTGTTTGAGCTGTAGGCTTGAGAAGAAACGTCTTGATGAGTGTGTGTGTGTGTTTAGGACCTGAAGATCGCTCAGAAGACTCCGCTGAGAGTCCTGCATCGCCGGCCGCTGGCGGTCCGACAGAGACTCGTCCACTCCATGAGTGCCGTTCACCTGGACACACACCACTTCACCTTGAAGCTGTGCACACAGGCCGGGACGTATCCTTCACAAACACACGTTCACATCTGTAGGTCTCATGTTTGAGGTAATACACAAACATCTACACTACCACTTTAAAGATTTATAAAGGAGTAGGTTACTTTAAAAAAAACTTTTGCTGATAATTTACTCACCCTCATGTCATCCAAGACGTCCACGTCTTTCTTTCTTCAGTCGAAAACAAATTAAGGTTTTTAATGAAAATGATTTTTCTCCATATAATGGACTTCAATGGGAACCAAACGGTTCCGTGACTCTCCTGTTCATCAAAATGAACAAATCTTTTTTCATGTCATTTGGTTCATCCAACGAACAAAATGAATGAGTTGACTCGGGAAAAGATTTGTTCATTTTGATAAACCAGTTCGAAGAGGAGAGTCACGAACGTGCGTCACAGAACAGAGCAAGACGACCATTTGAGCTTATAAAACTTAAACTTTGTTATTTATTTATTAAATTAGTGATTGTTTCACTTGATTGTTTCGTCTGGAATCGTTTAAAGCCCTTTGAACAGTTTGCAGTTTGCACTGAAACTCTCATTTGGACCTTGAACCGTTTGGTTCCCAATGAAGTCCATTATATGGAGAAAATCCTGGAATGTTTTCATCAAAAACCTTAATTTCTTTTCGACTGAAGAAAGAAAGACATGGACATCTTGGGTGACTAAATTATCAGCAAATTTTTTTTAAAAAGTGAACTACTCCTTTAAGTCTCTTTTGCGCATCAAGACTGATCAGTAATGCAATACTAGTAACGCACCGATATGAAGGATTTGCCCGGTACCGATAATTCTTTATATTTGAATGCAGATAAGCGATATATTGGTTGATGAATCTAAATCTTTATACATTTTTAAGAGCCTAGTCACAAAAACAAAAGTCTCACCATTAACAGCACACAATTATATGATTTCATGCGGCTTATATGACAGACTTGCACTGTTTTTTTCCTTTTTTGAAGTGATTTCAATCATATTTCAAGAAATTCAAAACTATCATGTTGAACAGTGCGCATCTGATGCGTCTCAGCTGAAGGAAATCATACATTATTTATATATCAGCCAAGTTTTCTTACCGTGCCGATACCGATATTTCGGGCATCCCTAGTAAAAACAGTAATATTGACAAATACTATTAAAAGTCTTCTTCAGTGTACTGTTAATTGTGGCGGTTTGCCTTCACGGACGTCGCTGCAGTTACATTAAAGAGTTTGTGCACGGAGACTTCGGCCGCACCAAACCCAACCTCTGTGACCTCATGAAAACCGACGCCGATATCCTGGAGCTGGACGTCGAGGTGCGTTTCATTAATGTGCAATATCACGAGTCGCCGCTCATGTGCTCAAATCTCTAATATTCCTCCTCCACGTCTGTGTGTTTCAGTCCGTCGACATCGACTGGCCTCCTGCTATTCCAGATTGACATTCGGGATTTTGAGAATAGTTTTTGTATGTCAGGAGTATATATTTCTGTCATACGGTTTTTTGTTAGTTTGACTGAACTGAAGCTGAAGCACGATACGATATGCATTTTCCTTAATAAACAGCCTAATTTTGTTTTTTGTTTATTGTCATGTTCCTGTTTGTTCAATTTGAATCATTTATGCTTCTCTTTTTTTAAAAAAAAAACTATTATCCTCTGATAAAAATGATATATACATATATAAAACACACACACATATAGAGAAAAATGCCACACGGACCTACTGGGAAATTTGAACATTTTAATATAACTTAAAATAAATACTACCAAATGGCAATGCAAGTCCTCTACATGGCACTTGCCCTAATGTTTTGGTATGAAACAAAACAGGCAAATGACTAAAGGAAAGGTATAAAAAATAATGAGGGAGAGAGAGCACTTAATAAACGCGGCCGACAGTGTCCTTCATCCCAACATACGAAAATAAATACAACTAAATTACATCTATAGTACAAAAATACGCTGAAACCAACCAAAAACAACAAAACAAAACAAAAAAAAAACTCCGTAATCGGAACAACATTAGAAAACCTAATGAGGATTTCTCGTCAGCCTGACCCAATGCGTCACAGCGTGAAAATAACCGAATCACAATCACTCGCACTCATACCATTCGCTAAGAAGAACCGCAACAAACACACACACACACGTGGCAGTTTCCAAAACGTCCACTGGATTGGGTACAAACGGGATGGGATTGAAACCATGGCAACTCGTCGTTCCTCCAGTGATTTTAGCGTCATCACCGTCACGCTGCCTGTCGTCATTGCATATGTACATCACACAGAGAAGGGCTCCGGGGTCAAGGGTCATTCACACTGGTATTGCATGGCTCAGTTGCACATATAATGAGTCTGTGTTCTGACTTGGTATTGATTCCAAACGCAGACGTCACACGTCCATAAGATTTCCACAGCTATGGATGCAAAAAAACAAACCGATGATGCAACAATGACGGTAAAAAGAGAGCGAGGGGTTTGTATTTACATCTTCAGGAATAGTCCAACGTTAGGTTTTTCTCTCTGTGGTGAGAAGTGAGGGTCAGTGGTTGATCGGTCTCTCTCTGTGCTGGTGAGAGAGACACACCTGTTGCTCTGTACAGTAAAGGGGAAACGCCGCCCAAAAGGAGTCTTCACACACGTTTGTCCTCGATGCTTGGAGCGTTTCGAGCGGCCCGTTTCAGCTTGTCGGAGGGGAGCAGGGAAGGACAAAGTGAGGAAAATCACATTTGGGCAGATTTCACCCCGTCTGTGGGTAGATTTATGGGTGAGTCTCACCAAAACATGCGCAGCTCATATTTCACCACCAAAATCGAAATACTAAAATAAGAAATTAAGTCTAATTGTAAGTCTATTTTTTATGATTTTTTTTGCATTGGGACATTATCCATCCATCCATCTTCTTCCGCTTCATTGGGACATTATTTGTATGGAAAATTTTCATTATTGTTTTATTTATTTTGCATTACGGAAATGATATTTTCCATTGGGACATTATTTGTGTGGAAAATATTCATTATTTTTTATTTTATTATTTTATCTATTTATTTCATTTTTTTTTATCTTTTTTTTGTATTACAGTAAAGATATTTTCCATTGGGACATTATTTGTATGGAAAAATTGTCATTTTTTATCATTTTTATATTATTTTTTGCATTACGGTAATGATATTTTCCATTGGAGCATTATTTGCAGTGTTGTAGTACTCGAGACTCGGACTCGTCTCGGACTCGGTCTCGAGACCATATTTTAATGGTCTTGGTCTTGTCATGGACTCGTGTCCATTTGGACTCGGAATTGACTCGTACTCGAACTTTTTTTTTTTTTTAGGACTCGGAATTATTCCCGAGTCCACTCGAGTTCAATTAAAAATATTTTTCATGATTATTAATTTATGTTAATAAAATATTTCTTTAAATTGATTGACACGCCCAGTGATTGGTGATTTTCTAGTGCGCAACTGCGCATGACCAATTGTAATAAAATTACTTTTAACACCACCTACTATGTGGCCTTTTTACCCTAAACTGATCATATTTTTTAAACTCTAAGTAAATTCAGTAAAAAAAAAAAAAAAGGATTTCTCTAACTAAATAAAAGAATTAGGTAATCAACCCTCACTGGTCTCGGTCTCGACTCGGACTCGAGTGAGGTGGTCTCGACTACAACACTGATTATTTGTATGGAAAATATCATTACTGTAATGCAAAAAATAATATAAAAATTAAAAAAATTAAAATTAAAAACTAAATGCATCCAAATGTTTGTAATTCACATTACTTTTTATTTTTATTTCTTTATTTTTTTATTTATTTTATTATTAGGGTAATTATGGATTTTGCATTAATTTTTTTACCGTATTACTATAAAAATAATTTTCACGTTTTTATTTGAATTAGCAAAGTCAGTCAAATAAATACTAACAACACTTTACAATGTGTCAACAGTAGTTAATGCATTAGTTATCATGAACCAACAGTGAACAATAATTTTTTTTACAACATTTAATAATCTTTGTCAATGTTAGTTAATAAAAGTGCAATTGTTCATTGTTTGTTCATGTTAGTTCACAGTGCATTAATGTTAACAACTGTATTAACATTAAGACTAATAAATGCTGTAGAATTTTTAGTTCATGGTAACTAATGCAGTTAATGTTTACAAATTAAACCTTAAAGCGTTAAAATATAATTGTTATGTATTACAGTAATGAAAATGAGATTTCTTCTCATTACGGTAACACGGATTTGGGAGGAAACTCTTAAAAATAACGTCACAATGCAAACCATCTAAGTGATGCTAAAATATGCTTAACTTGTCATCGAGATTTTGCAGTGAAATATGACGCAGACATGTCATGAGAGTCACACTTGTGCTCTGGATCGCCTGAGAGACCTTACAGTAACGGCAGTTTGTTGTGTGGTTGAGTGTTTGAACTGAAACCTTCATATATCAGAGCGTGAGGATCAAAACTAAAAAGAAATATAAATATTAACACTAGTGTCCTGTGACACGTTCCCATCCCCCACCCCCAACTTTCTTAGATTTCACTTTTACAGAAAGCATGAATGAGGAACAAGACTCTTCAAGACAGAGTGTGTGTTTGTGTGTGTGTGTGTGTGTGTGTGTGTGAGAAAAATCAGGAACAAACTTACATTTGTGAGCCTCACAGGAACGGATCTGCTGCTGCGTCTAATATAACCCCAACTACCTGTCTGTCTGTCTGTCTGTCTGATGAGATCCACACACATAAGGCAACATTTTTGGTTTGTTCCCCACAACGGCTCTTTTAAACAAGTGCAAAAAAAAAGAAAAAAAGAAAGAAATGCTGTAGGTCTTCACCAATACTGATCATATTTCCCAAAAAACACTGTCCATGATCTGTAAACAACAAGCTGAAAGTGTACAAGACTTTTTAAACGTGGGTCGACTAGCTCAAGTCTCACCCAACTGTGCAAAACCCCTTTTAAGTCCCACATGAAATAAAAAGAAAAAAAACAAAATCAAAACGAACAGAAAGCAGCAAAAAACCACTCGCTATGACTATCAGCAATTAAACGGAGGGGGAGAGAGAGGGGGGCTCTTTCTAGCATGGCTACGCAGGGCTCCTTAAACGGCGGTTTCTGATGACATCACTCCCGCCCGCTGGCCGAATACGAGAACTGTGGGAAGTGTGGTCTCCGTTCGCTGTCGGCCGAGTCCATCCCGTCCTCGTCATCTGCGGGAGAGCAAGAGAGAGAGAGACGTCACACACACTTCACACCCGACGCAGTTTTCCACCTCGCTCCGAGTGGAAGCGATAAGCGCCACGCAGATTTTCACAGTGATACGCTTGAGGGAAAATCATTGTGTGCCGAATGTAACTTCCTCTTCCTGTGCCGTGAGGAGCCGAGGAAAAGCCACAGGAAGAGAGAGAGAGAGAGAGAGAGAGGAGCAGGGAAACACTCACACTTCTCTGGAGGGGTGATGGTGATGGTCTGCGCCGTGAACTCCTCGTCGAAATACCTGGTGTCGGTTTCAGATGATACCTGTGGCATGAACGGCGGGACCAGCTGGACGAGAGAGAGAGAGAGAGAGACAGCGCTTATTATACATAATCACATACGAATGAATCGGAAGTTGATTTGAAAAAAGTGATTTGCAACATTATAAATGTATTTTACTTTCACTTATTATCAATTTAAAGGTACAATATGCAGGATTTTTGCAGTAAAATATCCAAAAACCACTTGGCCAATGTTATATATTTTGTTTAGTTGATTACTTACAATATCCCAAATGTTTCCAACTATTTGTGAGAAAATTGCGATTTTTAACCAAGGAAACGGGGCGCAGGGGTGAGGAGTCGCCAGTCAATGACGTCATATCAACGTTACATATCAGGTTTGACCTCGTACTGCAATAGTAACCATGGCGACAGACGTGGACAACTGGGTCGCTTATGTCCGTTATGCGTGCTCAACAGCGTGAGAGTCCCTGGCAGGGTTTTGTTTAAACATTCTGGACCATGGCAAGCAGACTTTGAGACAAACAGAGGACTAAAACGAAGATCAACATCTTTCTTCGACTAACTTCGACTTGACAGAGACGCGAGTGTTGCATGTTACTTGAGCAAACAGGTGAGCAAATCAATGTAACTTATATAAAAGTAATCAATGTTATATAGTTCAACATGATGAAAAGTTAGAATATGATCTGTATGTTAATATCTAATGTTAATCTAGCTTAGTCTCATAGATACAGCCAACAAACAACCTAACTAACAACATTCAACACACACAGATACCGTGAAACTGTTAGAGCAAGTGAAGCAGCGCTGTTAGCGCAAGTTTAATTCCTCTAATAAACTAACCTGTGTGAGTAATTCAGCGTGTAGTTTGGTAGAATGAAATGTCCTTATTCCTTTATATCCGCGGGACTCGCGTTGCGTGTGGCGCTGGTTTACGTGTAGCAATCGCGCACTGGTTCATACTACAGTCATGTTAAAAACATCACTGTATTCACTCACACATAAAAGATCCATCAGCTTGACGACAAGATCCATGCAGAATATACGTCATTAATCTACGCCTTTGTTATTGTAAGAGGTTAGCGACCCCTGGTGGCGAAACAATCTTGCATATTGTACCTTTAACTACATATACTTACTATAGGGTTAGTGTGGGATTTGGTTGAGGGTTAGTTGCATGTAATAGAGTGCCAAAGTTATGACGTCACTCTGTAGTCCAAAACGCGGAAGTGAGTTAGCATTTTAGCACTCCCGGTTCCCTCGCTCTAAAGTCTGTGGGATTTTTCGAATGGGTTTTTGCTAAATCGCCTGAAATAAGGTCTGTGGTGAACAAAGCCTTTAAATATTTTCACGTTTTGATCTATGACATAGAACACACAGTTATAACCTGCTTGTGTTTTTTTTTAAACTTTATTTAGCCTTCAAAATGTAAAAAAAAATTGAATTAACTTTTAAAGATTATCTTGATAGACAAAACGTGTAAGGGTCACAACTCTTTGTTGAACACAGATCTTATTTTTTTGTGATTTTCCAATAGTCTATGGGGAAAGTGCATAGCTTTTCGATGGAGGGAACCCATGCGCCGCTAACTTCCGAGTTGTCCTACAAAGTGACATCATCACTTCGCCACTCCATAATGCCTAATTTATTGTTATTACTATGGTAAGTACATGTAACAAGGACACTGCAATAAGTGTTAGCAATAAAAGTTACATTTCTTTCAAAAACTCTTTTGAATTGTAGGGAAGCAAGTCACGTTTCTGCTTTTAAACCCTCTTAACATGTTGCGAATGCACTTGTACCTTTTTGTCATAGACGTCCTGCCAGTCCAGCGATGTGAAGAAACTGTGTCTCATGATTTCCTTCGCATCATCTGGACCTCCTCCGAGCCTTCGGAGAATAAACTGCAGATTAATACTCACGTGATGCAGAGTAAGCCTGGCGTGCTCATTATGAAATTATGATTTTACATCTGAATGCTAATAATTAGTAAAAACCTTTCAAGCACAACCGGATCACACACACTGGACACAACCGGAAAGTTGACACACTGACCTCTTATTGGGGTCTTTGATGAGTAATCCAGACAGTAAAGACTTGGCGTCTGCAGAGAGGGTTCTGGGAAACTTGATCTCCTCCATCAGAATCAGCTCAAACAGCTTCTCATGGTCCTGAGGGAAGACGCACGTCAGCATGTGCAAGAGCAATCACGTGTGCTGTGGTGTGACGCTTACTGTACCTGATTATAAAAGGGAAGGCGTCCACACATCATCTCATACATGACGACTCCCAGACCCCACCAGTCCACCGCTCGCCCGTAATCATTGTCCTCCAATACCTGATCAATAACATCACATGACCCATCAGACAATCCACCACACCTCATCCTTCAATAGTCTTACGTTCAAATGCCTGATCAATAATGGGGAAAAACATGATGCAGTCCTGTGAACACTTGTGGCAACAAATAAAGTGATTGGATTAACTATAATCATTATAATCTATCCTCCCACAAATGATTCATATTCAATAACACACGCAAAATATGATAGAATACCTCAACAAAAATCACATCATATCTTCCAATCTTCCTTAATAATCCATCAAAAACACATTCATCTATTTCAGATCTTTATAAATGAGTATATTAGCCACCAATAACGGATCAATATTCCGTTCATATCTTTCAGATCTTCATTAACAATTAAATTGGCCTCCAACAACCAATCAAAAAATCATTCATATCTTCCAATTCTTCATTAATGATTATATTATCATCCAATAATCGATCAAAAACACATTTCAGATTTTTTCAAAAAAAATTATATAAAATACTGCTCAAAAACATCTTCCAATTCTGCATTAATAATTATATTTGCCTCCAATAACCAATCAAAAACTCATTCATATTTTCCAATTCTTTATTAATGACTAATATTAGTCTCCAATAATCGATCAAAAACATCTCCTAATTCTGCATTAATAATTATATTAGCCTCATTCTTTATCAAGAATTGTATTATACTCAATAACTGATCAAAAATGACAATTCAATTCTCCAATAATAATTATATCAGCTACCAATAACTGAATCAAAAACTCAATATATTTATTAGTAATTATTTCAGCCTCCAAAATACTGATCAAAACAACTTCCAATACTGCATTAATAATCATATTTGCCTCCAATAACCAATCAAAAACTCATTCATATTTTCCAAATGTTTATTAATAACTATCGATCATCTTCCAATTCTTTAATAATAATTATATTAGCCTCATTCTTTATCAAGAATTGCATTACACTCAATAACTGATTAAAAAAAAAAAAATCACATTAATATCTCCCAATTCTTCAATAATAGTTATATTAGCTACCAATAACTGAATCAAAAACTCAATATATTTATTAGTTATTATATCAGCCTTCAATAACAGATCAAAAACTGATTCTTATCTTCATCAACAATCACATTGTGCTCCAATACCTGAGCAAAAATCAAATATGGACATTATCCTGATATCTGATCCATGACCATGACCATGACTCAGATTCCCGGTCAATAATATAGTAAATACTCCAATGGCAAGTATATAATCTTTCAAAACTGAATCATATCAAATTGCCTTCAAGTACTTGATTAGTTACTACTGACAGTCATTTTGAAATCATATTAATATCAATAATTATTGATCATTTCTGATATCATCCAACCCAGATAAATGACTCAACTGATGGAAAAACAGCCTGACACGTAATTACATCATACAGTTATGATTCTGACATCAGCTTTAGAATGAGTCATCACCGTCACAGCATCCATGTTTACCAGCTCCGTTTATTATAAATGCTGCACTCCTTGTTCATCATTAAAGTGGATCTTGGAAACGGCCAGCAGATCACGGTCTGATCGCTCTATTTTTACCCGTGAGCCGCTCAGTCTCGTCGACAACCTGCTGTTTGTCTATTCCTGTACGGACGTTAAACACACAGCTCAAGTGTGACCCTGTTCCGGCAGTGACAGACAGAGATTAAACACTCGTTTATATTCAATTTACCCCAGTAAAGAGGGCTTCCTGTGTGGAGGTGCGGTGTGAGATTTTTTAGCGGCATCTAGTGGTGAGGTTGCGAATTGCAAGCAACAGAAGTTACGGTGGCAGACAGGAAGTGATGTCGTCGTCCGAGACAGCAGCCAGTTAAACTGGGCCTGAGACGAGAGTTCAAGAGATTTCCACGACGCATGCGTGAGAATTGCGTTATTTTTCTACAACTTCTTGGGCAATTCGTCGTGGAAATCTCTTCTAGGCCTGAGACGAGATTTCAAGAGATTTCCACGACGCATGCGCGAGAACTGAAGTAGTTGAAGGAGATCGCAATTCTCGCGCACGTGTCATGGAAATCTCGTCTCAGGCCCAGAAAGAAGAAAAGGAATAGTCGAATAAAATCGTTATTTTTGTTTGTTTTTTCGCACAAAAAGTATTTTCGTCGCTTGATAAACTTTGAGCAACTGTTGTCACATCATAGAATATTTAAACATTTTCTTGAATGAGTTTCTAGGCCGTCAAGTTTCGATCCCTTAGGCAGCCTATGTAGCAGACAGTGATCCAGCTCTCAAATTTAATCAAATATATCTTCACTTGTGTTCCGAAGACGAACGAAGGTCTTACGGGGTTGGTACAGCATGGGGGTGAGTAATTAATTACTTAATTTTCATTTTTGGGTGAACTAACCCTTTAATGGCAAATTTAGTATGTGCTACAGACTACACTTTGATGTACCCCTATAATTTTAACACTGACGAACCCGACATCCAGTATGTGGAACCATTGGTGTTTTAGCCTATATGTAAACATGTGATAGTGGATTCTGTCTGTTTTTGGTTTTATTGTTTGAGTCCTGAATAAAGCTTTGATGAGGATGATGATGGTGCATTTCTGTCAACAGATCCTCCTAAGTATGACACAATGCACCTTTAAAGAGATAAAACGATACGCTTGCGTCCCGTACCTCAGGGGCCAGATATTCTGGAGTCCCGCAGAAGGTCTTCATGGTAGCAGCGTCTGTGATGCCCTCCTTACACAACCCGAAATCAGTGATCTTTATGTGCCCGTCCTTATCCAACATCAAGTTTTCCAGCTGGAAAAACACACACACAAGTGGATCTGTGTGAATATCTTACGTTCAGCTGATAATGCTGAACTTTACAGGATGAAAATTAAGGCCTGTTCACACCGGGACAAATTTCAAGTGCAATAATCGCCGACGTTTAACGCCTCAAGACTAAACAAAGGGCGCCAATGTGAGTGTGCACACATTAAAACGTAAAACGGCACGCATAAAAGCGTCATTTTAAAAAAAAAAAACGCCTCGGGTTCGTATTTTTAGTTTGACGCGCTACATCAAAAACTATCCAACCAATGAGATTGACGTGTTTGGAGCTTCTTAAGTTACAGTAAAACACAACTTGGGGTCGTTAAAACACAAAGCGATCTTGCCGAGCACACATACGTAACAACGAAGAAGTTATACGCCAAGTAGCGTCGCCGTCTACACAGCCAGGAAGAAATAAGACGAGGAAGATGCAAAGTAAGATGAATATAGAGCTGCTGGTCTCGTTGGTGTTAGAACATAAAGAACTATATGACAAACGCGACTGCGACAACAAATACAAACATTTTGAAAAAAGAGAACTGATATGGAGTGGTATTGCAGAGCAAATGGGCGCCATCTAATGTCAGGGAATGAATTTGCATGTTCACTCGGCTCATCGTCAACGAAAATCGCTTTGAAAAACGCTGGCAAATAACGCGCGCTGATATTCGTCCCGGTGTGTTCGGGCCTTTAGTCTGTGTTTTGTTCACCTTTAGGTCGCGGTAAACAATCTTGGCAGAGTGCAAGTAATCCAACGCAGAAACGATCTCAGCTCCGTAGAAACGGGTTCGGTCCTCCGAAAACACACGTTCTCTCGACAAATGAAAAAACAACTGCAACAACAATTAAAAAAAAATAAAATAAAAATCACAAATACAAATGTGCATCACATTGACATACATGAACAGTAAACATTTGAAATTGAGCAAGAAAGAAGACAATTAAAAAAAAACTTGAATGTGGAACATTTTTAAAATAACAGTTGAAAATCTTCAAAAGCAATCTTCCAGAGAAAGTTCAAAAGAAGGTTTGTAAGGTTGGTAGGAAATTGAGTTCGAAAGAAAAATAAAAAGAGGGAAAGACAAGTTGAAATTGGTCTAAAGGAAGTTACAAACTGTATTTTGGAAAAATAAATTGAAAATGTTCAGGTAAAAATTTTAAATTTCTTTCGTAAATTGTTTGAATGTTTAAAAAATTTATTTGAAAAAGTTCAAAAGATTAGAGAGAAAGTTCAAAAGAAGATAAGAGTTTGACAGAAAGAACAAAAGTTTGAAAATGTTCCAAAGGGAGTTTAAAATTTGGAGGGAAAAATACAAATAAAATCCAAAGTTCAAAGGCTAGAGAGAAAAAGTTCAAAGGCAGTTTAAACATTTGAACTTTATCTCTAGCCTTTGAAGTTCTGGAAAAAAGCACTTTTAAAATAACTGAAAACATTTACCTCTCCTCCATTCACATATTCCATAACAAAACATAAACGATCCTTCGTCTGAAATGAGTACTTCAGCGACTGCAGGCAAGACAAGACAATTAATCACTCATCTCGTGTGTATTTTAAAATACAATTAATAACATGAGGATTGTTTATTTTAAATGTCTGAGGAGAGTGTGTGATATCTATATATTTTATGGCATCACTCACAGTTAGAAACGGATGCCTAGTGTTCTTCAAAACTCTGCTCTCTGTGAGCGTGTGCGCCACTTCATCCTGAGAGAGAGAGAGAGAGAGAGAGAGAGAGAGAGAGATGTTGATTTCAGGCTGACGCCCATCACTTCTCAGTTCAGTGTGTTCTCAGAGCACCAGGTTTCATACCTTGGCAATAATAACCTCCTTTTTCAGGATCTTCATTGCATAATATGTGCCGCTGGCTTTCTCTCGCACTAGAATCACCTTCCCGAACGTGCCTTTCCCCAGCAGCTTCAGATAGTCAAAGTCATTCATTGTCTGTCCAGGAAGAGAGAGAGAGGGTTAGTTTGAGCACATGCACGTGGATCCACCGGGCCGGCACCATCCCTAACCTTTCGTTTGTGATGACTGGTTGACGTGTCCATCTCCTCCTCGTTGACGTTCTCGATCTGAGAGATGGGGCTGCACAGGATTCCTTCCTCTTCCTGTTTGGCCAGCTTGTCTGCCACCATCTGAATGGCCTCGACCCACTCATCCCTTGTTAGCGAGGAAACACGAGCAGTCAGTCGGGATAAAGCCAGGCCGATTATCAATCAGCTGATTTCTGACTATACTGAGATCAACTGCCAGTGCTGGTTTCCTACATTGCAAATATTTTTAACATCCTTAAAACAAGATCAATTTCCTTGAGAAGTTGAGATTAGCTTTGTTTTCAGAGAATCACTTTTCGAATGCAATTTTATTGGTAAATAGTTTTTTTTAAATTTAATAACAGTGTTTTAATTTTTGGATGAACTACACCTTTAAGTCTCCATTCGCTTGAGTTTGGGGTCGTTAAGATTTTTGAATGTCTGTTCACAACGGGACGAATTTCGCGCGCGATAATCGCCGACGTTTAACGCCTCGTGACTAAACAAAGGGCGCCAATGTGAGTGTGCACACCGACGCGTAAAACGGCACACGTAAAAGCGTAATAAAAAAAAAAAACGCCTCGGGTTCATTTTTTTAGTTTGACGTGCCGCATCAAAAACTATCCAACCAATGAGATTAGCGCTTTTGCTCACGTATCTAGAGCTTCTGCAGTTACAGTAAAACACAACTTGGGGGCGCTCAAACACAAAACGGTCTTGCCGAGCACACATACGTAACGGTGAAGAAGCTATACGCTAAGTAGCGTCGCCGTCTACACAGCCAGGAAGATGTGAGGCGAGATGAATGTAGAGCTGCTGTTCTCGTTAGCGTTAAAACATAAAGAACTATATGACAAACGCGACAGCGACTACAAAATACAAACATCTTGATAAAAAATAACTGTTATGGAGTGGTATTGCAGAGCAAATGGGCGCCATCTAATGTCAGGGAATGATTTTGCATGTTCACTCGGCTCATCGTCAGTGAAAACTGCTTGGGTGTGAACACAACAAATGCGTTGAAAAACGCTGGCGAATAACGTGCGCTGATATTCGTCCCGGTGCCTTTATGTTCACCAAAGCTGCATTTATTTGATTAAAAATACAATAAAATCAGTAATATTGTGTAATATTATTACGGTTTAAAATTGGTGTTTTCTATGTGAATACATATTAAAATGTAATTTATTCCGGTGATCAAAGCTGAATTTATCAGCATCATCATCACTCCAGTCTTCAGTGTCACATGATCCTTCATAAATTACTCTAATATGCTGATTTGATGCTCAAGAAACATTTATGATTATTATAAATAGCTATGTTTCCTAGTAACTTCATTTGACTTGTGCATATTTGCGAAGAGTGACGTTTCCATCTCATGTGACCAAAATTACCACTTCCTGGGAAATCAGGCTCTTTCATCCTCCATCATAAATGACTTGCGACTCATAATTGACGAAACGCAATAAACGCTGTCATGTTATCTTGCTTTCGTACGGAAAGCAATCATGTGTCATTATACCGAATAATTCTGATGACAGACTTTGACTCCGACATTTCAGAATGATCAAACCAACATCTGAGATGCTGTGATGTGATTGGTCCGCAGGGTAATGTTGGCAAATGTTGCGCACCAAGGGATTTATTCAGTAAATGTGAATTTTTTTGAATTTTTCATCCTTAATTGAGCGCTTATGCGTTTTATGCACGTTTTTCAAATGCATGAGCATCTTGGTGTTTTCATCCAGATTTATTTTATATGATTTACATAAAAACACAGCGAATTTTGAAAACGGTTGTGTTGCTTTATATTTTTGAGTAAACCCTGATACATTTTTTTCTGGATTCTTTGATAAACAGAACATTCATTTGAAATACAAATCTTTTGTAACATGTAAATTGTCGCTTTGGATCAATTTAATGCATCCTTGCTGAATAAAAGTATTCATTTCTTTCAAAAAAACAAAGACTTTTGAGCGTTAAAGGTGATGTGGTACCTCTCCTCGGGCGAGTCCACATGGAAGGTGCGCTCGATCACAGTGGTCCACTGCAGACACCTGATGATGAAGGTGTTGGACTTCGGCCTCTCCGTCTTCATCAGCTGACACTCTGACCAGACACAGGAGGAGAGAGGAGTTTACATGTGGAATGATGACGTCATCGACTCAAAACACGGACTCATGATGTCATGTTGATGACATCAGCACGTGACGCTCATTGATCTTGAAGGGTTTGCCAGAAACATGACACACTGAGATCACAAATTAAAAACAGCAAGCACGTTTATTTAGCTAGTTCATTTTTTAAGTTATTGAATTAATAAAAAAAAAAAAGAAATGTATTAAAAAATAAGAGATACTTTATTTAATTTAGCTGTCATTGAGTTTCCAGATAATACATTACACATCTTTATATGTTTATTGATCACTGTATAAATGGGTCATTAATTCATATTTTTGGAAAACACCTGCGGCATAGTCAAAAAGACATAATGTAAGTTTGATAATGAGAGACTCACTGGCGACAGAGAAGTTGTTGAGTGGATACGCCAAATCAGCATCTTGCGGCTTCTCTTTATATCCAATGAACGAGCCATCCGTCTTTAACAGGAAGTACCGCGGCCTCCAGTTCTTAATGTATTCACCTGTCGAGCCAAGAAAAATCATCAAGCGTGCCTAAATACACACACATTTGAGAGAACGTGCGACTGCAGTGTATTTCTCACCTCTCTTTTGCACCCATCCCTCTTTCACTACGTTCTGGTCGTTCATTTTGGGCCTGAGGTCAGAGTTCAAGGGTCAGTCCAGCGCTCGATGTCTTGCTCGTGGATCTGTCCTGTTCCCTCACTCTCCCTTAGCCCGTCTCGCTCTCTGCCCTCCTGTTCTCTCACACTCTTCCTCTCACTTTCTTTGCCACGTTGTGATGTAACGTCTCAGCCTCCTCCTTCACTTTCACTCTCTCTCTCTCGACCCTTCAGACACTCCAACGGTGACTCAGCCTGGAAGGAAACAACAAAATAGAGAAAACACACACACACACACAAGGGTCATTCTCTTCCGCTTCTCCCCCTCTCCCACACACACACTTCCATGTGAAATAAAGTCATTGTTAAGACCAGGGAAACATTTCCCGCCCCTTCCCGTGGCCTTCTCTTCCTCTCTCACACTGGATGCTGATGGGATACGTGCTTCTTTACTCTTTAGAACCAGCTCAGACACGTTACAACCAATAAAATAACCCTATAATGAACCCAATGACATTAGAATCAACACTGAAACCTCTTAGAACCCTCTGAGAATCAATGTAAGGAATTTAGAACTTTAGAATTTAGAATTTTATAAGCAAACTTACTGTAGAACCCCAGAGTAGAGTAATATCACTACCTCAGAATGAATAATAGAATCATCTCAGAATCATCTGTTGAACCTTGGAATGATAAACCCAATTAGGAATGGATATAAATAACAAAATCAATAGAACTCCCATTCAAAAAAATAATCTGAAATTCCACTGAAAAACAACCTCAGAATCAACCTGGGATTTCTACAATTAATCTTAGAACCTTAAAATCAACATCATAAGCTCAGAACTTATAGTTATAGCCCTCAAAGAACATGCAGAATTTTACAATCAATTTCAGAAGGTCATAACGAATCATTTTATTTCAATTTTAAGAAGTAGTTTCTTTCTTCAGTTGAAAAAGAAATTAAGGTTTTTGATGAAAACATTCCAGGATTTTTCTCCATATAATGGACTTCAATGGGAACCAAACGGTTCAAGGTCTAAAAGAGTTTTAGTGCAGCTTCAAAGGGCTTTAGACGACACCAGACGATGAATGAATTTGCACTGAAACTGTCTTTTGGACCTTGAACCGTTTGGTTCCCATTGAAGTCCATTATATGGAGAAAAATCCTGGAATGTTTTCATCAAAAACCTTAATTTCTTTTCGACTGAAGAAAGAAAGACATGGACATCTTGGATGACATGGTGGTGAGTAAATTATCAGCAAGTTTTTTAAAAGTGAACTACTCCTTTTTCATTTTGTCAGAACCTCTAATAAAGCACGTTATTTTGTTTAGTTTTCAGTTAAGAATCGTGATCTTTATTTGAAACAAGAAAATCATTTTATCCAGAATTGTGCAGCTCTATAACTTTGTAAAGAAACACTACGCGTCAATAGACTGAACACATAACACACACGTGCATGATGTCACCATTTCCAATCCACATATTCATGTTTTTTTGGTATTTTACATAACGATAATGGTATAGTTTTCAAAGGTTTGCGTTTTCAGGCCCACATAACACTGTTGTGTAAATGAACGGCCAAAAAACAAATATAAAGTTTTCCGGTTTCAGTTGAAACATGTCCTAAAATAAAACTTAAAGTCCCCCTGTAGTGAAAATGAAGCTTTTAATGTTGTTTCTATGTGGTGTTTTAATATGCTTTAAAACAAACCATGTGTAAATTCATAAGACAACACCATATAGCTGAGTATTTTCTCTCAAAAACATGTTTTGAAAACGTTTTGATATCTGATCGTCTACGAGCTGGTGTGAGTGAGTGGAGGCGGGGCTCATTTGCATATTCACAGATTCACATATACTAAATGAGGCAAGGGTGTAGAGTTACATTCAAACTTTAAAATCTTAGAACTTAATACTTTTTTATTGTTATTTTAGAATCAAAATAGAACCCGTCAAAAATTCAGATTCGCATTTAAACAACATGTGGACCTTGGAATAAACCTCAGACAATAAATCTTCGAACATTACAACCAGTCCTTACAACGTCTCACACTTCTGTTTAAGCTCATCTACAACAAAGTAAATCTGCCACATATGGGAACACAGGCACCTCACACTCATTTTGTGTTTCAACATCTCTGCACAGTTGATGCTGTAAATTCATGCACTTCCCATAATCCTCTCCTTTATCAAATCACACTGTACCATGAAGAAACAGGCGCAGCATCATTGCCAAAGTAACTTTACACAGGCATTTGGGATGCCAAGAACAGAATAATTCAGACATGATGCATGTTTAAAATTAGAATTTGCAATCATCTCTTAATACATTTCAAATACAGTATTTTTTTAAATACTTTCCTTGTACCCAAAATATTTTAAGGCTATGCTGCTTGATCATTATTTTAGTGGTGCTACATTTTCAAGGTAATGGATATTCTTTACAAACATAAATATTTTTTTATTCAAAACATTGAGACAAATTCATATGGTTTATCTTTAAGCATTTCATAAAAAGGTCAGATGTGATGTTTAATGACTCTGAGTGGCCCTCTGTTTTTATGTTTTTACTGTCACATGACAACAAAATGGCTTCCTGCACATTGATCACATCACAATCACATAAATTTAGTTTTCTTCCAAATGTTACATTTTGAAAGAAAACAGAAGTGATTAAGAAGTGATCATAAAATATTAAAATAAAAAATGTTTTGTTTTTTTCAGTTTAACCGTTTTTACTTCTGATCTCACAAAAAAACAAAACATAAAACGGCTTTAAAATCTGAAAATAAAAACATATTCTTAATAGAAGAGGCTCGTTTTGATATGCATTTAATTGTAATGTAAATATTAGGAAAAATGAGAGGTCTGAACAACAGAAGCCATCCAAACCAATGTCAACAAAAACAATGGCGGACACGGTTGGGTATCACACACACGGATGTGACAGCAATTAACACGACAAACCCTAATAAACACAATGAAGCATCTACTTTTGTGCAATATTGAGCTGCTGTTATATAATCCATATCGGCATGATAATAAATACACCAGACTGACAGATCGGCACGAACAAGAACAAGCGTGTATATGAACACACACGAGTGTGTGTGCACACAAACACTGCTGTGTGATAACAATACAAACACACAAGCATTTAGGCTGGAGGATGAGAAATGTGCGCGCTCTTGTTTTCCATTTGGCCGAAATGCGTAAAATGGTGGACGCGCATCAATAATAACACGCAGGATGCAGTTTAAATGAGCTTGTAATGCAAAATCTGAGTGATTTATATAAAAACAGTGCGCGATATATAAATAAGCGCTTCGTGTGTCCGGCAGCATCTACGGGCAACGGGTTGAGGCCGAGGAAACATCCCCACCCGGCGGCCAGTGATGCTCCAGCGCGGATGCTCGGCCCGGCCCGTGATGCTGCTCGGTGATGGAGGAAAAACAAACAACACGAAGCACGCAATACCTGGCAGACGCTCCGCCAGACGGTGGTATCGGTTCCGCGCCAGCCCGGTGTGAGACAAACCCAAACCCGCAAGCAGATGATGCTGCCGCCGCTGGTCGGTCATAAGGAAAACGGAGGCACGCGCGCCCGTGAAGTGGCCATCATGTTCGTTACACCGGTGAACTGAATGACCCTGGATGAATGGCGTAACCCGATGCAGAAAGCGCGGTGACGGCGCACCCCGTCTCCAGCACTCGAATTTCCCCGAATCCTAGCACGACGAAGGCCTGCTGCTCAATATTCATGAGATAAGCGTCGCCATTGGATGGTTAGCAGGCAACGTCAGCGAGAACTCATGAATATTCAGATTAAAAGCCGTTGGAAGAATACCAGAGCCAGAAAACTAAACAACTTTGGCGAGAGCTGAATTCAAGATGGGACATTCATTGTATTTTATGAAATTCAGGATATTATTTTACAATACATGTATTATTTTGTCCATATTACTATAAAGTACTATGGTTTCTGCCACAGAATAAAAAATAAAACAGCTAATTGTAATTCCGAGAAAAAAAGTAGTCCCCCTTAAGCTAGCACTTTACACATCGTTTCAAAGCAGCTTTACAGAAAATGTACAGAATACAATTTAGAGTGATCTGTTATCTGAGGTAAATGTCTAAGTAATGTATTTCAGAAATTTACATTGTACAGTTAGCTAAAAATGTATTAATTTAAAACATTGTAATGATTTAAGGCAGAAACACTGAGCTGAAGTAATGAATACTTGTATGTTAGCAAATGATTATGACATTTAGAAAAATGTAGCATTGGTGCATCTTGATTCAGCAATTGTGTGGTTATATCACGCAATTATGAGAAAATAAGTATAAATTGCAAAGAAATAGCAGCTTTACAGTGATAGAAAAAGAATGCAAAGTTTGTTTCTGCTGTACAGCAGATCTAGAAGAAAAGTGTCATTTAGAAATGTAGAAATTAAAAAAAATACTTACAATTAAAACAAGGAAAAGGTGGTGCTTCACTTATGTCAATATTGTATTAATAATAAAAATAATAATACATGTTAAATAAATATGATAATCATGAAAAATTAATAAAATGGTTTGTAGCCAGAACATTTGGTTTTATGCAATACACAATGTTTAAAATATTTTTTTTTCTTTTTCTACCCCAATGGCCATTGAAATATCCCAATACATAAAAAACAAGAACGGTACGGCTCATTAATATTAAAAGCCCATGATTTAGCAAGGTGCTAATTAATATTCAGAACCAAAACCTCTGCCATTGGCTGGTTGGAAAGCAACGTCAGCCTGAGCTTATCATCAGTGAGCTGATCCTTCGCAATAGTAGCATTAGTAATTTGGTCTTCAGCACCAGCCATTCAGCCGCTGCCAGTGGGACGGAGGAGGAAACCTCTCGACGTCACACCGGGACCCGTTTTTACCGGACACCCCCACCCCCCCTCGCCCTCCTCTCCTCCCCCTCCTCCTCCTCCTCCTCTTCCTGGCTTTGTCGTTCTTCAGGCTTTTGTTGGTCTCGCTACATATGCATGATAAATGCTTTATGTAGCCAACCGAAAAAAAGCCCTCTTATAAACAGACAGCAGCAGAACTCACTTATTATAGACCTAATGATGTAGACAATAACAAATGCACCAACAATGAGTTTCCCGGGGCAGAGTGAAGATCTGGGACCCTTTGTCTTATTTAATGAATGCATAATATACAGTAAACAAAGGACACGGATGATGATGAATACTAATAATATTAATGAGACTAAAACTACTCTTTGAGTAATCGATTGAAGTCACAAACTTGGGGATTGATTTCCATAAACTATTCCATCCATACACATTTTGCTTTGAACTACACGTGTAGTGCATATTTTATGAGGACTTCACATGTAAAGTTGCAGGATGTCTCCCTCTAGTGTTCAACACATGCATCTCAAGCTTATCCACTTATTCATTTTTTTTGTTTGCTTCAATAAAAATAGTTTACACGTTTATCTTCAATTTTTAAAAAATAAATTTAAATGATATTCATTTTTTAAAATCACTCCAATTTGTTATTGTTATTATTAATAGTTTAGCTTAGCATTGAAATTCAGATCCTGACTTAAAGAGTCTATTCTGTAAAAATGCATATGCTTTATCTAATCAATAGAATTGTGGTAACAGATTACAAGCAATATTATTAATTAAATAAAAAAAATTAGAATTGAGCAATAATTAATCAAATTATTCCTTAAAAGTTACCAATTTAAAATGAGTAAAGTTTACACCAAAAAATGTAACAAAAATATATCACTAACAGACACACGTCAAAGATTAAATAAGAACTCTTTATTTTATATCGCCAACATTGAAGACACCTGATGTTAATCACTGAAGGAGAAAACCGTCATTTTAAAACAAACATCGATCACCATAATGGTGACTTCAATTTATGTTTTTTTGGTTGTTGTTGTTGTTGTAAGTTTTGCTCATTTTCAACGGTTAACTTTTAAGGAATTAATTCGATTAATTATTACTCAATTCTAATTTGTTAAATTTAATTAATAATATTGCTTGTAATCTGTTGCCACAATTTTTTTGATTAGATGAAGCATATTCATTTTTACAGAGTAGACGTATCACTAATGTTACAATGAAATGATTTTAAGATAGTCTCTGAGGTTTTTGAAAAACTTCCACACATTGTTTAATTTCCAGGTAATGGCACTATCAATTATAAAATTACATACAAACATATTGTTATATTACATGCAAATGTATTCCTTTGCAAAGGATACTTCTAGTAAACTTAAAGTCCCCCTGTAGTCAATAATTTTATCCTTTAAAACTCATCTTTGATCACCAAAATGACATATTTAAGCGAAATATCCTTGGGGAAAAAAAACTGAATATGAATATGCAAATTGGCCCCGCCTCCACTCACTCGCTCCAGAACTTGTACATGGTTTGTCTTAAAGCATAAAAACACCACATAGACTAGACATATAAACAACATTAAAAGCTCGATTTTCACCACTTTAATTGCTCTTAATCCGTTTGCTCTTATTGCATTTGTTCACTTCCAGGTCAGAGACAGCTTGTTAAATTAGCTGTGTTGCTATGAATCATAAGTAATTCTCGCTTACTTCATAAGTAACGTCTCGCTGATATTGAATCCATTCAGCATATCTGCACCTAGAGCATTTTTATGTCATGACGTGCCACAACTATTCAAAAACTGGAACTTTTCTATTTCTAAACAAGTGCATGATTTTGTATTGAGGCGTGTCCCAGACAACAACATTGTGTCGGCCCAGATCCGGCCCACATCTGGTACGCATTGAATCCAAATGTACCAGATGTGGGCCGGATCTGGGCCGAGGTTGCAATGCAATGCCCCATTCGCGTTGACGTGTTCATGACCTGTTAAATCTTTATCATCGTGGGCGTTTAAAGTGCAGCGCAAGTACATTTTTGTTCTACCAAATTAAAAGCCAGTTGAAAAACATGGGGTGATGCGAATTTTTCCAGCCCACTCACACTTTCAGCGGCCCACCATTCAACACTATTCTAGATTAGAGCCCAGTGGAGACTTTAGACATGCTCGGTTGAAGTAGACCCAGAATGCATCAGATCCTGATCTCTCTAGAATGGATATCAGTGTCTCTGTCTCAGCTCAGGTGACAGAAGCGCTGCTGTCCTTTACCCTCACGTTGACTTTCAGCCATGCAAAGTGCAAATCTACATCGCTGACCGAACACAAGGTAAGGTGACCCACGTTTGTCTTTCAAAGCAGGTTTGGTTTGGTTTTCAGATGAAGATTTGGCATTTGAATGTGTGATTTGGTTGTGACCTGTAAACAAGAGTCTCAGCAAACACAACAAGACACAAGGAGCCACAATCGCAGAATGGCAACAATGAAATGATTCTGGAGATCGGTTTGTAATTATATTTCTGGAGCTGCATAACACAGTGTTTATCTTTATATTATCATGTTAAAAAATAAAACAACAGTTCAATTGGTCTCCCTAGCTAACAACGCAAAACCTCTTTGAATCCGGTTGGGAGACGAGCAAACCAGCTTAGGCTTGGATGAGCTGTATTATGTCTTATGGTTTAGTTCCCTATATTGGCTCCATTATATTTATGTAGGCTTCCCATTAATGAGTGCAGGATGGCCGGGTCAGGCATTGCTCTGAGGTTACATGAGTTTAAGGAAAGCCAGGACACCAAACATCAACCAGCACATGTGTAAGTATAAATGATTTTTAACCCCTTAGCTGTCACCCGCCTTTTTGATAATGGGGGTTAAAATGCACTATTCACACTTAAATGGTTGCAATTCAAGAATGCTTCGAAATATATACCCAGGTTTGGTCTTGTTTTAAAGGAAACACTCAGCAGAGTATTGCTGAAGTGAAAACACTCCAAAAACAGTTTAAATTTACAGTAAATCAAATATACTGCACTATATATATTTTTATTTTATATAAAATATATATTTTACAACATATGTTTTACTCTGAAATTACTATAAAATCAAACCAAGTTATGTTCCAAATTTGAAGTTGATATCACAAAAATTGAAGTTCCCATGAGATTTTGTTTAGGCGTAGTACCAAAAATAGCCACCGGGTGCCATTGAATTCCATTGAATTTAGTTGTATACATTCTGCCTTAACAAATTAATAGATTTCTGTCCGAATATCAATTTTGTCACAAAATTTGGAACCTTGAGACTCAGACCTTTCTGACAATACGTGTTTTGTCAAGATTAGAAAAGGTTTTTATCATAAAATTATGAAATATAATGATGCCCAAAAGGGGAGGAGCCTGATAAAATAAGTGCCGTTTCTATGTTAACGCAACGTTCCATATATATATTTTTATTTTATATAAAATATATATTTTACAACATATGTTTTACTCTGAAATTACTATAAAATCAAACCAAGTTATGTTCCAAATTTGAAGTTGATATCACAAAAATTGAAGTTCTCATGAGATTTTGTTTAGGCGTTGTACCAAAAATAGCCACCGGGTGCCATTGAATTCCATTGAATTTAGTTGTATACATTCTGCCTTAACAAATTAATAGATTTCTGTCCGAATATCAAATTTGTCACAAAATTTGGAACCTTGAGACTCAGACCTTTCTGACAATACGTGTTTTGTCAAGATTAGAAAAGGTTTTTATCATAAAATTATGAAATATAATGATGCCCAAAAGGGGAGGAGCCTGATAAAATAAGTGCCATT